TGTATGTATATATATATATATATATATATATATATGTATGTATATGTGTATATATATGTATATGTGTATATATATGTATATATATGTATATGTGTATATATATGTATATATATGTATATGTGTATATATATGTGTATATGTATATATATATGTGTATATGTGTATATATATATATATATCTCAATCAATCATTGTGTCCCCTATTTTCATAAGAATATACATACGCATAGTATATTTCAGATTTGTATGCATCTCATGTGTCTTCTTGTAAACAGGGTAAGCTGCAGAAGCATCAGGCCTTTGAAGCTGAAGTTCAGGCCAACGCCGGGGCTATTATCAAATTGGACGAGACTGGAAACCTTATGATCAGCGATGGACACTTCTCCTCTGAGACCATTCGAGTAAGGCACCCAATGATGTTTGTGGTCACCCTAATATGCATATGCATATTTACTGAATACCCTGCTCCATCTGAATCAGTCCTACACGCCTTACCGGACACAACAAAGACCCATAGTTACAAGTGTCAATATGGGAGAATATATACAAGTAGGTGTTGAGCTGCTGTGGACCGTGTGTCATGTGACTCTTGAGTGCTGTGAACATTTTTCCAGAGCTGGCTCTTCGTTGAAATCTGTCCCTTCTCGTGATTCTGATGCTAGGAAATGGACTAACTGTTTTATTTATTGAAGTAATGTCTCACAGAGGAATGGTGCTCGTGGATTTCTTTTTGTTCCAGGTGGTATCTTTAAACGGGGGACCTAGCAAATACCTTTAAAACTCCAGGACTCACCTTTCTATTTTCGATACATACGAATTCATTATAGAGGGAAAACTATAATGATATCATGTCTTGAGTGAAGATGCTTACTCACTAGTGTTTTGCCCCTTTTACTTATTTTCATGTTTCCTTCTCCCTTCCTCTCCACTGTGCACTAACGTTAAAGATACCCTTCCCTCCTGTACACTAGACCCGTCTGGAGGAGCTGCATCGCCTATGGGACCTTCTGCTGCAGAGGACAAAGGAGAAGGGTATGCGTCTCCTGCAGGCCCAGAAACTGGTCCAGTACCTGCGAGAGTGTGAAGATGCCCTGGACTGGATCAGTGACAAGGTCAGATTTTTATTTAAACAACATGGCTTATGTGCAAGAATAGTGCTTCTGGAGTGAATGAACATCTCATCTCTGTGTTTTGGGGCATTGTTAGGAAGTCTCTGTTTTCTGTTTTCTTCTAGCCTTTGGCAGAATAAAGTAAATGCTATTTTTCTGTTTGCTCTTTAGCTGCTCTAATAAAAGTTAACAACAGACATAAAGACAAAATATCTGTCCTCCATTTAAAGGTAATTGGAGTTGAAAGGTAAATAGATGGCCTGAGACTAATGGTACCAATTCATTTGAATGGGGAATGAAAACCAGAGGGAAACTTTTGATCACCAGTAACTAATAAAGAAAACTAAACGACAAAATATACTCTTGACAGCAACAACAAGCTGTAGCTGTAAGTGCACAAATAATCTTAAAGTTGACTGAATTGTGAGGTTATTCAGTTCAGTTCAATTTAAATAGCTTTTAGACTTAAATGTAATATTTGCCTCAATGTTTTTCATCTACGTCCATGTGTAGGAGGCCATGGCCTCCTCTGAGGAGCTGGGTCAGGACCTGGAGCATGTGGAGCTTCTGCAGAAGAAGTTTGAGGAGTTCCAGACTGACCTGGCTGCCCACGAGGAACGTGTGAATGAGGTGAACCAGCTGGCAACGAAGCTGATCCAGGAAGCCCATCCTGAGGCTGAGCTCATAGTTCGCAAGCAGGACGAGGTCAACGCGGCCTGGCAGCGCCTGAAGGGCCTCGCCCAGCAGAGGCAGGGCAAGCTGTTTGGGGCAGCTGAGGTGCAGCGCTTCAACAGGTAAACTCGCTCAATTTATGTTTCGGTTCAAATATGGACACAGAAATGTTATTAAGACAATGTAAATACAAACTTGTGTGTTTGATTCCAACAACAGGGATGTGGATGAGACTATCAGTTGGATCAAGGAGAAGGAGCAGCTGATGGCCTCTGATGACTTTGGTCGTGACCTGGCCAGTGTGCAGGCCCTGCTTCGCAAACACGAGGGGCTGGAGAGAGACCTGGCTGCCCTGGAAGATAAGGCAAGAAGATGCTTTACCGAATATCAACATACAGCACAGAAAGCTGGTACAAACCTTTTATTGTCTCTCCTTTTCGATTCTCTTTCCAGGTCAACACACTGGGTGGTGATGTAGAGCGCCTACAGCAGACGCATCCACAAAATGCCTCACAAATCCATCTGAAGAAAGACGAACTTGTCACCAAGTGGGAACAGATTCGCACTCTGGCCGCTGAGCGCCACACCCGTCTGAACGACTCCTACCGGTAACGGAGCAGACATGCATTGGTTATAAACTGTCAATGGCGGGGTTTATATGATCATGAAAAGTCATGGACTGAAAAATAAATAAACCCTTAAGGTTTTGGAAAAGTCATGGTAATTTGCTCTATGTGGTTCAGTTTAGATCGGCTGAGGAAAATCTATAATGTTTAAACAATACTTTGACGTTTGTGCAGATCAGTTCTGTCACTTTACATTGCATTGTTCTCTGTATGGAGTAACGTCAAACTCCAACCTTTTATTCATACTCTTCATATTTACACAGAGGTTTCAGAGAATGTAGATATGTACAAATATGGCTGCTGTTAAAAAAGATAAAAATACTGAGAAAATAAAACTGTGATTAGATTAATCTGTGTCACAGTCTTTATAATTTGAAGTCCAGTATTTTGTCTGATCCGGCATCCAACAGGTCTATTATCTTGTTACATTTGTTAGTTTGTTTTTTTAAGAAGATTGAATAAAGTATTCAAATATTGATTTATTGAATATATTTGATAGTCACTACCAAATGGCAAACTTTCTAATATTTATTTCAGGTAGATTCTCTGTTATAATAATCAGGAATTTAAAAAGTAATCTGCGCTATCTACTCGTTAGGTGCGGCTCTACACTGTTAAACATTTCTCTTGAGAACTCATCACTGCTGCCCTCTTGTGATCTGTTTTTAGGCTGCAGCGTTTCACTGCTGACTTCAGGGATCTGACCAGCTGGGTGACAGAGATGAAAGCCCTGATCAATGCTGACGAACTGGCCAATGACGTGGCTGGAGCCGAGGCTCTGCTGGACCGCCACCAGGAGCATAAGGTGAAGTCTCTCAGGTCAAAGGATCTTGGAATTCGACCACCATTTTAGCTTTGCCCTTTTAAAAGCTGAATACGGATTAAAATGCAACTTTTCTTTCAAATGTAAAAAGCAGCAATGTATGGTTGTCTTTGGTGTGTCCCAGGGAGAGATTGATGCTCATGAAGACAGTTTTAGAGCCACTGATGAAGCTGGCCAGGCCCTGCTCAATACAGGACACTACGCTTCTGAAGAGGTCAAGGAAAAGGTAGGACTATGACATAATCCAGACTGTTATTATACCTCTCTATACCAGCACACCACCATGTATCATGTGTTACCAGTCGACGTGTTTACAATGATGTGTTGTGTTGTGTGTAGCTGGGCATCCTCGCTGAGGAGAAGGAGTCTCTGCTGGAGCTGTGGGAGGTGCGGAGGCAGCAGTATGAGCAGTGCATGGACCTGCAGCTCTTCTACAGAGATACAGAGCAAGTTGACAACTGGATGAGCAAACAGGAGGTAACCCGGCACAACGACTTACACCAAAACTAGAGTTGGGTCGATTTGGGGTTTTGCTGGTGCTATCCGCTGTACGAGCTAACACCAGTTTGATTTGTATGCAGGCCGAACGGGCATATCTTGATCGGCCTACATCAGCAACCTGTGCCGATGGTGTCACCATGCTAAATCCAGCCTGTATTGCATCATAAGGCAATTTTACAACATGATTAACGTAATATTGTGTTCTACATATTACGGATGTTATAGTGTTATATATATCGGACTAACAAAACCACTACTGTCTGACAGGCCGCTGCAATTTTCTGCCGAGCCAAGGTTTGAGTAGAGCTGGGAGGGAGGAGGAGGGTCCTGGTGCACGTTCTGTTTGTTTATTAGAAAGTTCATGTATTTCTTTGGGTGACGAGACAAGATGAGTTGCACCAACCGATCCAAGTGAAGGGGGTTAGCCCCATTGTTAGCAACAACTTCAGACCAGGCTCTCTTAGGGTAGTCAAGTGCAACACCTGAAGTCAAATTCACAATACTGATTCAGTTTTGAGGCTAAATATCAAACTGGTTTGAATGTTTTTACACCGGCCCAACTCTAACCAAAACCTTTCTTAAGGATAGAGTTGCACTAGTTGAGTATTGTCTAGTAGTTGATGTGATAAAGCACTATTTAATGTTGTATCTGCATTATTTAGGCTTTCCTCCTGAATGAAGACCTTGGTGACTCCCTGGACAGTGTAGAGGCACTGCTGAAGAAACACGAGGACTTTGAGAAGTCCCTCAGTGCCCAGGAAGAGAAGATCACTGTAAGCTACTCCAGTTTGTCCGTTTGTCCACCTTTCCACACATTCTATTACTGAAATACTGTTGCTACTCCGTGGAACTTGTACAATCCTTGGCAGGTTTTACATGAAATAGGATATATTTTGAATTTCTTTGTCTTGTACGTCTCCAGGCCCTGGATGAGTTTGCTACCAAACTAATCCAAAACAACCACTATGCTAAAGAGGACGTGGCCACCCGCAGAGATGCTGTAAGTACCACTGTCGGCTCCCTCAACATTCCCTTGAATCAAATCACCTCAAATACGAGCACTGAATGCTTAAGCAGCGGGCAGGATTTTGTCATCATCACTCAATGCAAACTCAAAAGCAACATGTCTTCTCTTCTTTTTCACGTTTATAGCTGCTTAGCCGGCGCAACGCCCTGCATGAGCGTGCTCAGTCTCGTCGTGCTGCCTTGGAGGACTCTTTCCACCTGCAGCAGTTCTTTAGGGACTCTGATGAGCTCAAGAGCTGGATCAACGAGAAGATGAAGACGGCCACAGATGAGGCTTACAAGGTAGTTCATCAAAGAGTTGGAGATCTTGTTGTGCAGAGATGTGTCCTCTATTTTAAAATGTTTTTGCACATCCCCACGTTATCCTCACTGTTTCTGAAGTTTCCATTTTCCAACCGTCCTTCTGCTCTCTTGACAACAGGACCCCTCCAACCTGCAGGGCAAGGTGCAGAAGCACCAGGCGTTTGAAGCGGAGCTGTCAGCTAATCAGAGCCGCATTGATGCCCTGCAGATGTCTGGCCAGGAGCTGCTGGATGGAAAGCATTATGCCTCTACTGAGACGGCTGGCCGCATGGAGGAAGTCAGCTCCCAGTGGAAGAAACTGCTGGAGGCCACTGAGCTTAAAGGTACTACTGGCTGTAGGAAAGCTCTGAAACAGATCTGAAGTAAATGGAGGTGCTACAGTATATCGGTATATGAATAGATTTGATTTCATCCAAGTACAAATGTAATATTGTATAATATTAAGATCAAATATGGCAGTACTATTGTATGTCAGTGTGGGAAAGACATTACTTTAGTTATTTAGGGTTTCTCAGTGAGATGTCTTTTTCATGAGACCTGAGGACAATAAACATTCATCGTCAAACAACAGATATGAAACCAGACATCTGCATCAATCAAGCAAGGACAATCAATAAATGCAACTACAAGAGTCCTACAAACATAAGAAAATAATGAAATGATTTAGCTTAAGGGCAGTTTGCAGTTTCTTCCATTTGAAAGGTGCAGATATACTGAATGTTACCATTAGGTGTGGCACTGGACTCAGCAGCTACTCCTGAGTTGAGCATAAGACTGGGAGAGCCCTTGAATGATAGTGTAACAACTCCAGTCCATGTGGTGGTGGTAATAATGCACCTTTAAGCTGCTTCGCCAACCCACAATCTAATGAGAGCAAGGAATGTCTGCGTGTTCTTCCGTTCTACTTCACACTTGGTGGATGTACTGCTCAGGACCCAAGGAAGCACAGTGTTGAATGTGAAGTTGTATATCTGAGCAGTTCTCCAGAAAGCTTTTGTCTGTTCTGAACGGGCATGTTTTCAATGGGTGCTGCACTAGTAAACTCTGATATAATGACATGAAGAAGCAGAGAGTAAAGTGGCACCAAAATCAGCAGGTCAACATAAGCGTTGCCTGTTTTTCGGCTTTAAATCCAAAATGTTGCCATGTTGGCACAGTTTTAGTTTTCTTTAAAACTCTGCTGTGTCTCGTCATGACAAAAACACATAAACTCTATAGTAACCCAACACATCTCCCTCCCACCTTTACTGAAATCTGATCTTCATGTTGCCAACATTGGCTCATGGCCTGTTAGACAGTAGCGGCACTGCTTTATGTTAACCACTCTGTCATATTACTTATTACTAATACAATACAAGTTAGATGTATTTCTGCGACCCCGACAACATCACTGGTCTGTCTGCTGTATGACTCTGGTACAGAGCTTCCACTTATATTCAATTACATTACATTACAGTCATTTAGCAGACGCTTTTATCCAAAGCGACTTACAATTCAGGTTCTATCACAATTCTACACCGTAGGCACAGCTACGGGAGACATTTTGGGGTTAAGTGTCTTGCTCAAGGCTCCATTTACTGAATGGAGCTTGAACGCACCATAATGTAAATGAATATTGGGCGAAAGTACACTAATGTTATCATGTGTTCAGATGTAATCTTGTAAAATGTAGTTTTGGTGATAAACTTGAATAAATCCAGATGTTTAAAGGAGATGTTTTCACAGCAACATCAAATAGATATTAGAGAGTAAATTCTGACCTGTTTAACTTCCTAACACGAGCTCTATGCAACCTATTATACATAACTAAAGGATTTTTCGAATCAATAAAAATACAATCTCTTTCTAATTTCCTAATCTTTTTAATTGTGTATTTTTATGACTTAGTTATGATTAGTTTATGATGATAAGAAATATTTTAGTTCATTAACTATAGGCCTATTAGAACTATTCTGGTTAGTAAGCATGAAACCGTGAAAATGTTTCTATCATGACATCTCTGCATGCAGCACCCCATCACTGATGGTATGACAGCTCTTTATGAGTTTTGATTGTGAATTTGATTTCTTCAGGCATCAAGCTGCGTGAGGCCAACCAGCAGCAGCAGTTCAACAGGAACGTAGAGGACATTGAGCTGTGGCTGTATGAGGTTGAGGGCCACCTGGCTTCAGACGACTATGGGAAAGACCTGACTAGTGTCCAGAACCTGCAGAAGAAACATGCACTGCTGGAGGCCGACGTGGCTGCTCACCAGGTACCTAATGTTAGGCTTACGTCATGAAGGCATACCTGATACTAACTGACACTAGTTGGTTCACAGTAATTAAATAGCTAATGTATAAATTGGTCTCTCCCAGGATCGCATCGATGGCATAACAATCCAGGCTCGCCAGTTCCAAGAGGCGGGACACTTTGATGCTGACAACATCCGCAAGAAGCAGGAGGCTTTAGTGGGGCGTTATGAAGCTCTGCGAGAGCCCATGGCTGCACGCAAACAGAAACTGTCCGACTCTCTGCGGCTCCAGCAGCTGTTCAGAGACGTGGAGGACGAGGAGACTTGGATCCGTGAGAAAGAGCCCATTGCTGCCTCTACTAACAGAGGTAAATCTTGTTAGCTATTTTTACTTGTATTATAAAATTGTCACTTTACAGAGATAAGCAGTGAACTTGGAGGATGCTTCAGTTTCAGTTGAAGCACCCCCCTCAGGTATTTCAGATTAGTGAAGTTTTACAAAACGTCATTCTTGATGTTTTCCTCAGGCAAAGACCTGATTGGTGTCCAAAACCTGCTGAAGAAGCACCAGGCACTGCAGACTGAGATCACCGGTCATGAGCCTCGCATTAAGGCTGTTACCCAGAAAGGAGAAGCCATGGTGGAGGAAGGTATTCAATTAAAACAAGCCTTGTTTGGTATCTCCTACCAGTTGATAGTGACCAAGTGAAGTATTGTCCCAACATTCAAAATGCTGATCATTCTTCTGGTGGGTTCCCAGGACACTTTGCTGGAGAGGATGTGAAAGTTAAGCTGGCTGAACTACATGGACGCTGGGACACGCTGAAGGCTAAGGCCTCCCAGAGGAGACAGGATTTGGAGGACTCTCTGCAAGCCCAGCAGTACTTTGCTGATGCCAACGAGGCCGAGTCTTGGATGAGGGAGAAGGAGCCTATCGTGGGGAGCCCAGACTACGGCAAAGACGAGGACTCTGCTGAGGTACACAAAATATCATTATGTCAATGTTGCATATGCATTTTCAGCTACTTGCTAATGAAGTATAAACTATCATTTGTTAATATTTTAGTGTTTCTATCTTAAGCTCTGTTTCTGTTCATGTTACATTCATTGCTCAAGCCTCTACATGCATGCCTTTGACAGATGCAGTTGTGCTGAATAGTTTGTCTTCCTCAGGCTTTGCTGAAGAAGCATGAGGCCCTGATGTCTGACCTGAGTGCCTATGGCAGCAGCATCCATGCTCTGAAGGAACAGGCCCAGTCCTGCAGGGTAAAACTTCATCCCTCTTCACACTCTGCAACACTGCACATGTGCTCAGCTCAATTGCAGGGCTTTTTAATACAGCCTCTGATGGCTAGACTGTGGGATTTCTCAGCTAATCAAACTTTCTTCAGTTTAAGCAGAACAGAAATCAGTGACTCTAAATGTTTGTTTAACTGAGCAGCAACAAGTGGCACCGACTGATGATGAGACCGGGAAGGAGCTGGTCCTGGCCCTGTACGACTACCAGGAGAAGAGTCCCCGTGAGGTTACCATGAAGAAGGGGGACATCCTCACCCTGCTCAACAGCACCAACAAGGTACAGATCAAAACAGCTCAGTGCTCAATAGACTGTCAGTCTGACTCCCCATCAACTCAACTTCAAGATATTTTGCATGTTACATGACATTTAGGTACATTAATATGGGGATTAGGGATGCTAATTTCTAGTGATTTATTTAATAATTTGTCAGTCACTGTAATGATCAGTAATCAATTAATAATGAATTGGTCAACCTTTGGACAACACGTTTGGTTCAAGAGATTAAAGATAATCATTTGGTCCGACAGTAGAATTATGTCCATCTGTCCACTCGGCAGACTGCAGCATATCCTGGGTGTCTAGTTATGGCTGCATGGTCAAGGTCCTCTCATGGTTGTGGTGACTCACACTTTCTCGGAACACCTTTTATTGCCTGTTGTATACTGCCACTGACTGCCTGCTGACTCCTCACTTACTGCCATTAACCGGTTCCAGTATAATACCATGACTTCCAGCCGCTTGCTTGCATCGCGGCTTGATTTTGAGTTTGAATGAAGTGCGCTTTAGGACGCCTTACACAGACTGGGGGTTAGCAAGTTGTAGGTTGTATTCAATTAATCACACATTACATCAGTGGTCTGCACTCTACTTAGTGCACTTTTCTAGTTCTTACTCCACTTCCCTGTTTTTCACCACTTAATCATTTCCCATTGGTTGGAGTAATCCAGTAAGAAGAGGACCTTGGCTCTCCCTAGTATCTCCTCCTTTGTGCTGGCGAAGCATGTTGATCATGCCAGTCCGTGATCCCCATCCCTCTGGTCTGGCCTTGGGCGGGTCAATAGCATTCTATGGGCTTGCTGTGCTCCCTGCTGGGATCACATGCTGTAAAAACTGAATCATATCTTTTTTGATCTAATTCATCAAAGGGAGCTCTTAGCTCTTGTATTTCTCCTTGGATAGCCTTGATTTTGTTGTTTGAATGTGTCAGCGGTGCTCTGCAGCGACCTTCAGCCTCGTCCATACGGGAGCTGAGTGTACCAGTCTTCCCTTCTATGTCTTCCACAGTAGCCTTATGTTCCCTCGTGGCATGTTTGATATCCTGCATTCTGTGTAGCTAGTGGATCTTCCGGTGGCCTGTTAACAAAGCTGTCCTTGTTTTTTCTATCTTTCGCCGGCTGTATGGAAGATGAATGTTAAAGACTGCATTTTCCAAAGTTGTCAGTAAGGCATCAATGTTTGGTTTGTGAGGAGCTAAGAAGTTGTTCTAGTTGCTTACCACTATACCATAAACTAAAAGTATTTATCAGTGACTTTATTTTCAGTGCTAGGTTTCATGGAACAACTTTCTAAGCTGCCATCTCCATTAAGCGCCCACATGACCTTTCCTCTCTATTTGCAAAATGATGGTTTCCATCACTAACTATCTCATGAACATCACTTGCTGATATCAGTCCCTCTCCTCCCTGCTGCAGGATTGGTGGAAGGTGGAGGTGAACGATCGCCAGGGCTTTGTTCCTGCTGCTTATGTGAAGAAGCTGGACCCTACCCAGTCCTCGTCCAGGGAAAACCTGCTGGACGAACACGGCAGCATTGCACTGCGCCAAGACCAGATTGATAATCAGTAAGAAACCCACACCATAAAGAAGATGTGCAACCAAAATGTAGTTTACTAACAGAATTCTCCTTTCCGACTGGATTTGTTAACAGTTCCTCTTAAGTGTCTTTTCTCTGCTCTTTAACTGTTCTTTACTTTCATCAAACCATCTTTTCTGCTCAGTTTCTAACAGTAATGACCTTGCCCCTGGCTTCTTTCTCTTGTCTCCTCTGCTGTGTTTAACCACTTAATCCTGTCTCGCTGTGCGTTGCCTTGCCTCTGAGCAGGCTTGTCACCAAGGAGGCCTGCAGCGTGTCTGTGCGCATGAAGCAGGTGGAAGAGCTGTGAGTAGGATCCAGCGTCCCTCTGCGTGTTCTTGTGATCGTGATGCCACTAAATATTATCGCAGTTTTACATCCCTCCCAACCCCAGAACCCCTGATGTTGTGTGACAGTGCTCCTCTTCTATTCAGTAGAGGGATAGAAGATCCCTTCACATCCCTCTCATCCCAGGCTTGACTTTGGATGTTCATTTCTGATTTTTCTTGTCATATCATAAGCTGTTCTGTTCTGCACATATTGGGCTTCATTCATTATTGCACAGGTTACCTCATTGTCCAAGGCTCAAGGTGCTAGTCAGAGAAATCCTGCTGATCCTAGTGGCTCCAAGAGTCTTGATTGAAATCTGCTAGCTGGTCCAACTTTTAATTTTAATTTACTTAAAATTATTTTAAGAGTGGATTACAGAAGCTATTACAAAACTATTGTAGGAAATAAATGATCGATTGATAAATGAATAAAAACAAACAATGAAATGAAAAGCTCATTATGAACTTACTTCATGCAGACTCTGTTGGGTAGAACATTCTTCTAACTGGTGATGATGAAATGATCTTCCGCTGAGTGCTCAGCTCTCTGTTCAGTCTGTTTGACTTTGCTCTGAAGCTTTTCTTCTTCCCTAACATTGCAATGTGGTGTTTTGATTCATTATTGCAGCGCAAATGTACAATGTGATCAGTCAGTTACTAAAACAGTTAAACTCTCTCCTCACTCATTCAAATGTGTGTGACGTAGCAGCACAGGTGGTTTCCCATCGTGCTCTTATCTGTCACATCGCTGGTCGTGCGAGTCTCTCAGTTAAATGACAAGAGTTTAGGACTGCAACCAAAGAGTTTTCATTGTTAGTAGATTATTCTCAGTGTTCTTTGGATAACTCATTTTATGTATAACATGTCAGAGTCCACGATATTTTCAAATTGCTTGTTCTGTTAGAGGAACAGTCAAAAAAACAAAAAATAGAGAAATTAAGCTCACTATGGAAATGATGGAACCAGCAACTGTTCTCCATCTTTGCTTAATAAATGACTTGAACAACTTATAAATGATCAAAATACTTTTCTGTCAATGACTGATCGACATCAAATGTACTGATTGTTTCAGCGCTACAGACGAGATTTTATCATCTCTATTTTGAGAACTAGCAAAAAATACAGATTCCTCAAAAGAGCAGATTCTCTTATTTATTCTCTTAATTATTTAAATGAGCTACACTATAAGAGGGGTGATAAGCTTTTGAAGGCAATTTCAATGATTTGATTGAATTGTGTGGGTGCACCTTTTTCAAGGTATGGTACTCTGTTGGAGCTGGGAGAGAAACGCAAGGACATGCTGGAGAAGAGCTGCAAGAAGTTCATGTTGTTCCGTGAGGCCAACGAGCTCCAGCAGTGGATCAATGAGAAGGAGAGTGCCCTCACTAATGAAGAGATGGGCTCTGACCTGGAACAGGTCGAGGTCCTGCAGAAGAAGTTTGACGACTTCCAGAAGGTAACGTCAGCTCTCTGTAGACTCTCATGGAAACATCTGTCCTAGTTGTTGCACTACTTGGCTCCCAGTAACACACATTTATAACTTGATTCTGATGTCATTTATATGATGACATCACGTTAGGTCTGTTATTGATTAGTAAGCAACTAGTATAACCTGATCTTGAGTCAACCCATGGTAATATTTCTGCTTGACTACACTCATGGCTACTGTGTGTTTGTACATGTCACGTCTCGTGGAAAGTGTACAATAATGTTCTTTTGTTTGGTCCAGGACCTAAAGGCCAATGAGTCTCGTCTGAGGGACATCAACAAAGTGGCGTCTGAGCTGGAGTCTGAGGGCCTCATGGCTGAGGAGGCCCCCATGGTTCAGGCTCAGGTAAGTTCTTCTTCCCTGGGTTCACTTTATGAGCCATCTTCCATGTTTTATCTGTCATGTTTAATGATTTGTTTTCTGTCAGCAGCAGCAAGAGAACTGACCCTTTCTGCACTTTACATCCATTTTTCTTGATATTTAACAAACATTTCAAATATCACAGCAATAAAATAAGACTCTGGTATGACGCATACATTTCATTAAACAGGATGAAGCCGATTCCAAGACTGCATCTCCATGGAAGGTAAGCTTCATCTAACGGGTTAAATCTGTCTACAGAACATACATTCAAACATTCAGCTGTTTGTATTTTTAGACAAAGTGCATCAACTGCAAAGATGTAACAGCCTGTCAGTCTTGATCTGATACTGTAACTGTGCATGGCTGTTCAGCACTGGGTTGATGTTTGATGCTGGTGTGACACTGCTGGAATCTACTGTAGTCATACCCGAAGACATCTTACTGGCATGGGTCTTGATGTTGCATGTCCTCATTAGATATGATAAGACATTGATGAGAAAACCCGGGAGCCTTCTCTTTAATCCCTTTTACTTTATACGTCTCAATCATTTACAAGTATTTAGTTTGATTCATCATAATTCAGTGTTTGGGGCTGCTCTGCTGCAGCCATGGTTGCAGTGCTTACTCTGTCCTGATTGGTGTGTTGTCTTGGGAGAAGACTAAGACAAATCATGGGAGTTTCCTGAACACTCTTGACTGGTGTGCTTTTCTGTTTTTGTCCTCCTCCTTTCTGCTATGTTTTGTTCACCGTTGACTATAGAATATACGCTTGGCTGTTCAAACAACGGCTAACTTTAATACTATCAAGGTAAGATTAACTTGACCATCATCTACAATGTGTCCTCCCCTAGCTCTCCTGTCCTGCATTGTGATCAGAAAACTAACCCCATCAGCATGGTTTCCTTGTTGGTGTTCTGTCTCTTCCTGTTCTCTAAAACCGGACTGCTAGTTCTGTTTGGTTTCATCCTGTTTCCCATGACATTTGTTCATCCTGTTATCATCCAGCATCCCATGTCTTTAGGGTCTCTTTTGGTATTTTGTTCTTTCTGTCCGCGTGTAATGCAATGTTCTTAACATGCATCCAGTCCTGTGCACTTTACACCCATCCTCCACGTGCCTGTGCTTGTCCATCGCTGTATGTGAGCAGCAAACACACTCTGTACATTAGCACACTTCTAGCACATATTGTATTTGCATGGTTATGTGAGTTAATGTTTAATTTAACGTTCCTCACCTCGTGGTCTCCAAGTTTATCCGATGATGCAGCTAAATGCTAATGAGCTAATGATTCGATGTGTCTCTCTGTCATTGAGGGGGTGTTTAGTTCTCATACTTTTAAATCAGTGCAATTTTAACACTAAAACTAAAAGGAACAGGCGGCACAAGGGCTGAGCAAACTGAAGAGTGTAGCGTGCTGTTTTACCTGAGTCATTTTATGTGTAGGAGCTGAATAATCGCTGGAGGTCCCTGCAGCAGCTGGCTGAGGACAGGAGCAACATGCTGGGCAGTGCCCACGAGGTGCAGCGATTCCACAGGTACAAAGCAGAGACCGTAGAGGAACATGTGGTGTCTGTGACATCACCCACAGGCTGTGATAGTTATTGAGAATCTAACTTATTCTGGAGATTTGAGAGCAGTATTGCAAGTTGAGAAGTCAGAAAACTGACTCGGTAGTGTCAGTTACATAACATCTATGTAAAGTAACATTAGCCACCATAGATACTGATCACACCAGGCAGCAAAACAAAACTGAGTGTTTTATCGCTTATGAATGCAACTTTTCATTTGTAAGCGGAAGAAAGTATGTCTTCCTTTAGAGAAGTTACTTTACCAACGTTTATAAGTTAACTGACTTTTCCTCAAATCAAGCAACTATAGGCCAGCATTGTGTTGGTAGCTGCTTACAGGAATGAAGAAATGTACTTTATATTTAGACACTTGTAAAACCTTTCTCTGGTCAGATACTAACATGAGTACTAACGGCCTCATTCAGCACATATTTACACTCAATAAAAACCTTTATTGTGATTAGTAGTTATAGAAACTTTAGTTTCATATAATAAAGTGTTTCCAGTAAATACATTGAAACAATGAGAAGGTGGAAATCTTCTTACTCTCTCACACACACACACACACACACACACACACACACACACACACAGCAACACCTGATGTTTGAGCACACACATTCCCACATTCACAGCATTTGACCATTTGTTTGTTTGTGCCTCCTAAGGGATGCTGATGAAACTAAAGAGTGGATTGAGGAGAAGAACCAGGCCCTCAACACTGACAACTACGGTCATGACTTGGCCAGTGTCCAGGCTCTGCAGCGCAAACATGAAGGCTTTGAGAGAGACCTGGCAGCTCTGGGGGATAAGGTCAGATTGTCTTTTATATGAGATTGTAGCTAAAATTGTATCACTTCCCTTGAGTCTTTAACTCATTTTTCCCTCCTCCCCTGCCTAGGTGAACTCTCTTGGGGAGACAGCAGAGCGTCTGATCCAGTCCCACCCAGAGGCAGTGGATGATATCCAGGAGAAATGCACTGAGCTGAACACTGCCTGGAGCAGCCTGGTGGGACGAGCTGATCAGCGCAAAGACAAGCTTGGCAACTCCCACGACCTGCAGCGCTTCCTCTCTGACTTCAGGTGAGGAGAGAACAGCTAGTGGATGCCACTGGGTCACATTTGTTTTTGGGGTGAAGAACTGAATAAGAAATATGTTTGTTTTTTTGTAAGAGATGCTGTCAATGTGTCTGGTATTTTTTGGTTACAACATTTCATCTGTGCACAGAGATCTGATGTCCTGGATCAATGGCATACGAGGGCTGGTGTCCTCGGAGGAGCTGGCCAAAGACGTGACCGGAGCCGAGGCCCTCCTGGAAAGACACCAGGTATTGAACTCCTCCCTTCAGTTAAGTTAAAGTACACAACTGCAGATGTCACTGCAGGTTTTTGGCCATCCAACACTGTCTTTTTCTGTTGTCCAGGAACACCGCACAGAGATTGATGCTCGCGCCGGTACCTTCCAGGCCTTTGAACAGTTTGGTCAGCAGCTGCTGGTGCGAGGCCACTATGCTAGTCCTGAGATCCAGCAGAAACTGGAGGCTCTAGACCGTGAGCGCGCCGACCTCGAAAAGGCCTGGGTGCAGCGTCGCATGATGTTGGACCAGTGCCTCGAGCTCCAGGTGGCCATTTAGCAACCTTAATAATGTCGTCAGCTGTCTTTGTCCCTCCGCTGACTGACGTCCTTGTCCCTCTGCAGCTCTTCAACAGAGACTGTGAGCAGGCTGAGAACTGGATGGCAGCTCGTGAAGCCTTCCTTGCTAGTGATGACAAGGGTGACTCCCTGGACAGTGTGGAGGCCCTCATCAAGAAACATGAAGACTTTGACAAGGCCATTAACGTGCAGGTCAGTAAGATGTTCTGCTCCTCAGGGAAGGCTTGATAGATTGATGGGTAGTGGTGTTCTATAAATGATTAAATGTCACCCGGCTGCAGGAGGAGAAGATTGCTGCTCTGCAGTCCTTTGCTGACCAGCTGATTGGAGCTGATCATTACTCCAAACCTGAGATCTTCAACCGCCGCAATGAAGTCCTCGACAGGTAGGAAACATCTGGAGACTGTTTCAGTTCTGTTACACTCAACTTTCAGCCTGTTTGTCTTCAACATCGTCCTCTCAGTTCCAAACAGGATTGAGTATCATTTTCAGTTCAGTTGTACCTTAATGTATTGAAAGCTGAGCCACTCTTTCACATGCTGCTTACTAAGAGTGATGCTGATCTCGCACACATCTTTCTCAGATAGCAGTGATGCAGAATCATCCGCATACAACAAAAGTTTGCTTTTCAAAGCAGCTGGCATATCATTTATAGAAGTACTGTATAAGTAAAGGACATGTAATATCCCTTGGTTCTGACACTCACACATATGACACACGTCTTCCTGTCCAATAACATTTCACAGCAATATAACCAAAGCCCATACACCTTGAGAACACTAGAGAGGGGTCCACTGTGTCTGAAGCTTTCTGCAAGGTAAAGCTAGGGTTGGTAATCTAGAGAGACTAGCAAGAGTAAGATAGATTTAAAAAATGATCCAAACTAAAAACTCAGCCCAGTGTTGCCAAATCTGTCCCAAAGAAAGTAGCAAGCAGCACCAGATCCAAAGGTCACTAAATCGAGTGAGAAAGTCTCAAAGGGGTCAACACTGCCAGCCTGTCTCTCCTAACACACTCCCCCACATGATGATGGTAAACATAAAGGAACAACATGGCTATGAATGTGATGAGAGGACAGCCTTATTACAGTCCTGTGACAGCCAGAGATGTATTGGATTTATTTTCTTTCTTTTTTTTGTCAGAGCATTTGATTCATTGATTTCTGTCAGCGTGTAATAACAATTTCAACAGAAACATCAAAAGTGTTTTTGAATAAGATGAACAACCTTTTAATAAGTAAACTAAAACAACATCCTTTTATCTTGACAGCTGAAAATAGAAAGGATGGATCATTGTCAGTTGAATAAGCCAGACTGACCAAATGTGTTGTACGAGTTTCAGACTACATATTCACCAGATTAAACTCCACCTGTTCAGAACCTTAGACATAGATGTTACAATGGCTACCGGCCTGTAACTTCCTACATTTGATTCTCTAGAAGTTGTTAGATTGCATAAGCTTAGTTTTAAACTCCATATTTTGATGTTTGAAAGGTGGCGCCGGCTGAAGGCTCAGATGATCGAGAAGCGTTCCAAGCTGGGTGAATCCCAGACCCTGCAGCAGTTCAGCAGGGATGTGGACGAGATCGAGGCCTGGATCAGCGAGAAGCTGCAGACTGCAACTGATGAGTCCTACAAGGACCCCACCAACATCCAGGTACACGCTGGGCTTCTACTGACACAGAACAACTGACAGAGGTTTACAGCAGCACAGCTAGTCTGAAAGGAGTACATGGAATAAGTGTAAATGCCACACATTTCAATTTTATGTCGAATAAAATGAGGAGTCAATCTTTTTCACATATGGTAATTGATTGTAGGCCAGGTAATTGAGCCATGTGTCCTCAGCTAACTTCTTTAACCGTGTCAACCCCTCCCTGTGTCCTGTCTGAAGTGAGACTGAATTTTTCTCCCACTGTCTTATTTCTTTTATAGCTGTCCAAGCTGCTGGTAAGTTTGAGTAGTGTGTCAGCTGACTAACAACCCAGCAGGTTGTCTTCCATGTGTCCATGTCTTTGCTGTGTGTGTGTTTCGACATGATGTAGAACAAGCACTCCGTCCATCTTCAGTTTGTCCATCATCAGCACTGTTGAGTGCCAGCTTCTTTTCCACCTGTTTTTTTTACATTTGAAAATAAATGGCTTAATTCCGTCTTAATTTTTGCATTTTATTTCTAGGTTTGTTTTGTCATCACAGGCTACTAGTTGTTGGGTGTGGCTTCCATCTTTATGTTCAGTTCTTGAGGGGGTTATCTTTAAATTTGCTTCTCATGTTTGACTTTGTAGTCAAACTAATCTAATTGGACCTTGAAATTAAATGGAGAATAATTCCTGAGGAATATGACGGTAGGCGTAGAGTTTGACACTAGTGTCAAGAGGACAAATTCTACATAGTTGTCTCTGTGCCTAACTGGCTGTTTTTGATGTTTAAAGACAGTATTTACTAAGACCAGCTGAGAAGGTCATGGACATGAAGCAACTTTGAAGAGACTCTTCCTTCAGTAGGTTCTGTTCAAAGTGACAGACTTCCTCTCCGCTGTCATCTTGTGTTCTTCACTTGTTTGCCAGTGTGTGTCTGTCGATGTCTGACACATTGTCTGTCATCAACGTTGTCCTGTGTTGAAGTCATTTTTTGTATTTGTTACGCTCTAGTTTTAGAAGCATTGTGGAGCTGAGGTTAATGTCAGCCTCACAATGCTGCAGGTAAAGGTTTAGTCAAACTGACCTTTATTTTAGCTCTTGTGCAGATTGTAAGTATGAAGGCAATGCTAAGTGTGCATCTCAATTTAAGGAGAGTTGTGAATATTTACACTATAAATCCACCGTGTGATTCTCATGCTGTGTCCATTGCCTCCATGTGTGCTGTCAGAGTAAGCATCAGAAACATCAGGCGTTTGAGGCCGAGCTGCATGCCAACGCAGACCGAATTCGAGGGGTCATTGACACCGGCAACACCCTGATCCAGAGAGGAGCCTGTGCTGGCAGCGAGGATGCAGTCAAGGTATATTCATTACATATTGCTGTACAGCATTACAGTATACAGATGAATTATTGGGCATTCAGCAGACCCTCCTATCAAGCAGAATGAGATTTACAGGTATTAACAATAAGAAGGGCAAAGAGTAAGAGCTGACAGGATAACAACCCTGTGACCAATCATGTAAGACCTGGAGAAAGAGTGTAATACCCAGCCACCTGCTCTAAAGAAATATAGGACTGCATTTCACCTCTACTACTGGTTCCATACAATCTCAACTTGCAGCCAATGGTTATTTAAAAAAAGCCAACTACTAACTAACAGCTGGCCAAGAATACGTAAGAGTCAACCAAACTGCTGAAACTGTGACGGCACTCCAAATTCTACTGCTATCTTCTGATCGTCACATGTCGCCCTGTAGTTTGTGTTTATCTGTGTGTTCACTGTGACACTAACGGGGAGCTGTATGGTCTGTGAACCTTCTGATTTATTAGAGTAAATCCAAAGTGACAGAAGAACACAACTTGTATTATTGTTTTGTCCTTGCCACCAAGAGACGTGCAGACCTTCAGAGCTATAGCAACTCAAATTCAGCCACACAAACCCCAGTGCTGGGGTCTACCGCCCGGACCCCCCGCTGGATCAGCAAACTCTCTGTTGCTGCCGTTCCACAGGTTAGACGAGCCCTGGGGTTTGTGCTGGCTGAATTTGAGTTGCTACAGCCACTAACTGATGGTCTGTCTCCTTCCCGCCCTCTTCCCTGCAAAGCAGTCCACTGGTGGCTCGTCGGGGTGGGGAAAAAAATGTGCCCATGTATCGCGTCTTTGGGGGGTTTTGCAATTATGTTATTTTTATTTTTTCATCCCTGAATCATTAAAGTATTTTAGCATTAAAAGAACACAGAAAGAACATCTTTAGGATTTATTTGATAACCCAACGGGTCGAACTGAGGATAAAGTACAATGCATACTGATGTCAGCACCCAAGTATTGTGATGGTGTTAACTAGGCAGCATATTGTCCCAGTCCTAGTGGCAGAGAGCACCAAACCAAAATACAAGTCGTTTTCTTGTCCAATAAACAAACTATCAAATACAGTGACTCACTATCGCCCCTCCAGGTTACAGGTGGTCTTACAGGACGGTTGGCATGCTCCTTTCAGTAGATATGTACAACACAATACATAAACGTCTGACATAACGTTAACACAGTACGCTCTTTAACGTTCCATTGTTAATATTAGTTCTTCTTTTAAATGTTTTTAACTAAAATTCTGGCCACATCTTATACACTGCACCTTTTTGAGCTGGAGGTGGAGAGATGTGCTTAAATGATGGTGATGTATACATTTTAAATGTTTCTGGCAACTTCCTGTTGATGGATCTTATTGTACCTTGCCAGTTTGGATACAATCTTACAAGATAGGACTTAACAATTAGTCATTTGTATATCAAAATTGCAATTTTAAACGAGTTTCATATCATACGAGCCGTGATTTAAATTTTGACTCTCATAATTTAGAATGTAGCAAGTGACCGATTGTGACTGTTCATGTCACTGGCTATGCTGGTAAAAGTACTCAGCTGTAGCTGATTAACGTTATTGGTCACAAAAATCCCAATTCGATATTTTCATCAAATCATTCAACGCTATTACGAGACATGTCTTGTGTTGAAAATAAATAGAAAGCTTTCCACAAGATATGTGTGAGAACATTATCTTAAGTGCAGTAGTGAAGTGAAACTCACTCTAAACATCACGTGTCTATTCCTCAGGCGCGCCTCAGCGCTCTGGATGAACAGTGGCAGTTCCTCGTCAACAAATCTGCAGAGAAGAGCCAGAAACTCAAAGAAGCCAACAAGCAGCAGAACTTCAACACCGGCATCAAAGACTTTGACTTCTGGCTCTCTGAGGTGAGAGTCTGCATGCCAGATGCATGAATAACAACATTGACGCACCGATGCACAGAGGATTATCTCAAAGTCTGGTGCACGTTTCCTTTGTCCCAGGTGGAAGCTCTTCTTGCCTCTGAGGATTATGGCAAAGATCTGGCCTCAGTGAACAACCTGCTGAAGAAGCACCAGCTGCTGGAGGCTGATATCTCTGCCCATGAGGTTTGTAGCTCATTATAACAAATGGCTCTGCATGTGGGTCCGCTGTACCTCAGGGAACACAAAACACGTTATTTCAAAACAATTGTCAATTTTAGACTCATTACAAAAATTTGGAAAAACCATTCATGGACTCAGAATTAGAATGAGTGCCTCCTCCCTCCTCCCTGCAGGATCGCCTGAAGGATCTGAACGGCCAGGCTGACAGCCTGATGGGCAGCAACGCTTTCGACACCTCACAGGTGAAAGACAAGCGCGATGCTGTCAACGGCCGCTTCACTAAGATCAAGAGCATGGCTGCCGGTCGCCGCGCCAAGCTCAATGAGTCCCACCGCCTGCATCAGTTCTTCAGGGACCTGGATGATGAAGAGTCTTGGATCAAGTAAGAGAGTCCCGCCTGGGATCATGTTCTCTGCAAAGGAATCAGAAGGGAGATGGGAGGCTTGCAGAAAACAAAACATAATCTTGTCAAAGCGCCATCTAGTGGGCTACGGAGTACTGGCAAATGCTAAGATTCATTTTAAACTTCATTTTTTTAGTAATATACAAAGCCAGTTATTCTTCACATCTCAATGTGTTGATGTAAAAAAGACAACCCTGTGCCAGTAAAAGCTGTGAGGAAGCATGACCCTGAATATCCTACAGTGATGGGTGAGGGTTATTATTAATAGTCCACCTTTTCTCTCTCGCACACACAAACAGCGAGTGTCGCAACACTCAGTACATCGACTCCGTGATTGTAAAAGTCCTCAAGTCAAAATGCATTGAAAAAAGATGGATGGAATCATTTCCACACGTTTTTATTTAACGTAATATTCTGGGCATTTATAATTAATTTCCACTGCGTTTAACTCTCTGCTGTCCGGCTTGCTGCACCCAAAGGATGCACAGTTTGTATTAAGAAATTCAATTTTTCCCAATTCTTTTAGGTTGATAACATGAAATATCATGGCAGACATTCTACGCTTCACACAGAATTACATGTTGGTCATTACAGCTGACGTGGCATAACTCATATTTACAGCCCAGTTTCTTTTTTAATAATATAATTGTATTATTTGATATTAATGATATCTAGACAGATGAAATGATGTAGCCTAAATTAACTTGAAACACCCACGGCCTGTCTCTGCCTATAGAGTCAACAGTTTAACAGCAGAGGAGAGGAGAGGGAAATAGAAGGGTATGAGAGCAGAGGAATGAGCAAAATGAGACAAAAAACAGTCTGTTTTACACCCTAATTAGCCGTAACATAGACATTCACATTTCTGTCCCGACCCCGCACAGAGAAAAGAAGTTGCTTGTTAGTTCGGAGGACTACGGACGTGATTTGACAGGAGTACAGAATCTGAGGAAGAAACACAAGAGGCTGGAGGCCGAGCTGGGAGCCCATGAGCCAGCCATTCAGGTAAGAGGGTCATCTACTCAGCCGACCTAGTTGTTGATATTTGTGATTTGTCATTTGAATAGGCCACAGACTGTGTGTAAAGCAGCCTTGTAGTCGGCTCATGCCCCTCACGAGCCTTACACAGTCTGGCCTTAGATGCATTTGGGGATCAGAGTCGACTCACAACAGATGTGACTGTAGCTGAATCACTAGAGTTAGCCAATGGATGTACTGTTTGTTGAGAAGTAGATATAGCGCACAACTCCCGTATTCTGTGTTTCTCATCTGAAGCAGTCAGTGGGAGCTGTGGTATTGTGCAGTAAATGATTCAATCAAGGCCTCATTAAAGATGTCGTGTCAGTATTATCGTACAAAATGCCTTGTGTCCCCATTAGTAAATGAAATGATGCCACAATAGCATTTAAAGTTGCATTTTCCTGACCTTGAACCTGAACTGGTGTTTAAACGTTGCATTTGGTCCACATTGTGACTTATTCTGTATTCATATTCTTTGTATACTTAAAAATAGTGTAGCTTTGGTATTCAGTGATTAGACCTTTGTTTTGTGTGCTCCCAGTCGGTGCTGGACACTGGGAAGAAGCTGTCTGATGACAACACCATCGGCCAGGAGGAGATCCAGCAGAGGCTGGCTCAGTTTGTCGACCACTGGAAGGAACTCAAAGACTTATCTGGAGCGAGGTAAGCCTGCTGAGCTACACGCTCGGCCTGCAGGACACATACACCGATAGAAATAGGTGTGTGAGTTTGTGTGTGTGTGTGTGTGTGTGTGTGTGTGTGCTCCCAGGGGACAGAGGCTGGAGGAGTCGCTGGAGTACCAGCAGTTTGTGGCGAACGTGGAAGAGGAAGAGGCTTGGATTAATGAGAAGTTGAATCTAGTGGGGAGCGAGGACTACGGAGATACACTGGCTGCTGTGCAGGTGCTTTTCTGTCTCCGTTAATAACATACCCTTTATATACATTACATAAGTTAATAACACACCCTTTATATACATTACATAAGTTAATAACACACCCTTTATATACATTACATAAGTTAACACACCCTTTATATACATTACATAAGTTAATAACACACCCTTTATATACATTACATAAGTTAATAAAACACCCTTTATATACATTACATAAGTGATGATGAGGTTTGCTGAATGTCAAGGAAACCTTTCTTTTCCACAGGGCTTGCTGAAAAAGCACGAAGCATTTGAGACTGACTTCACCGTGCACAGGGACAGAGTCAACGATGTGTGCACTAACGGAGAGGAGCTCATCAAGAAGGTACTGACGTTATAGCATCCAGAGAACATGCACTGTTCTCAAGAAGCATTCGTGCAGGTTTACCAAGACTGTTTGTGTGTTTCTAACAGAACAACCATCACATAGACAACATCAGTGCCAAGATGTCGGCTCTGCGAGGCAAAGTGTCTGAGCTGGAGAGGGCAGCCGCTCAGAGGAAGGCCAAGCTGGATGAGAACTCTGCCTTCCTGCAGTTCAACTGGAAGGCCGACGTGGTGGAGTCCTGGATCGGTACGCACACATAACCACGTCTCTCTTCCTTTTTCCATAAGAGCAGTGTTCCAAAATAAGTGACTTCTATTGGTTTTCTACATACTGGATGTACTAGGTGTTTTTTCTACAACTAGAAAACTACAATATATTCACTCTAACGAGTTGTAACGGTTGTTCTGAAGATTAATATCATTGTAGACTGGTATTATAAATTGTAGAAAGAAATCTGAATCCATAGTCCTGCTGCCAAACAATACTACCGTGACTTGTTAGCCATAGCCAGAAGAAGATTCCTGCTCATGACATCTTCACCACCATCATTTCACATTCTTTAAAGCAGTTGATTTATTCCATCATTTCTGTATTTAAGAAAAGCAAAAGGAACTTTCCAGAAGAGGTTCCAGCAGGTTTTCTAATAATGCGTCATTACACAGGTTTGCTTTAATGTAATTGTAATGGAGTCCATTGTCTGTTGTTTTTGTGATTTTATTTAGCAAATGTTATGTTCTAGCTCCTTAAGAATTCAACTCTGTAAATAATGAACACGTAAAGCTCAATGCAGAGGTGTGCGCAGAGAAACAGCCAGCTGGAGGCCATATAATGCACATTCTCAAAGTGTGTGTGTGTGTGTGTGTGTGTGTGTGTGTGTGTGTGTGTGTGTGGAGACATTATCGCTAACATTTCTGAATCTGTGTTTAGGTGAGAAAGAGAACAGCCTGAAGACTGATGACTACGGCAGAGACCTGTCCTCTGTCCAGACTCTGCTCACCAAGCAGGTACTCTTTTGCAGCAGTATTCTACTTTTACCTCTGTAATGTGTTACTCTCTCCGTTGGAAACCTCTTTTTTATGTGTCCGTCTGCAGGAGACGTTTGATGCCGGTCTCCAGGCCTTCCAGCAGGAGGGCATCACCAACATCACGGCTCTCAAGGACCAGCTGCTGGCCGCCAAGCACGTCCAATCAAAAGCCATTGAAGCTCGTCACGCCGCCTTGATTAAGCGCTGGAACCAGCTGCTGTCCAACTCAGCTGCTCGCAAAAAGAAGCTTCTGGAGGCTCAAGAGCACTTCAGAAAGGTAGAGGTTTCTCAACATTTTTGTGCACAAAATCAAAGCTTAAATATAGTTGAAGCATTTCACCAAAGCTAAGCTGATATAAGTAAATTGGACTTGTTTAAAGGATCATGTCTTCTTCACAGGTTGAGGACTTGTTCCTGACATTCGCCAAAAAGGCATCAGCTTTCAACAGCTGGTTTGAGAATGCAGAGGAGGATCTGACGGACCCGGTTAGGTGCAACTCTCTGGAGGAGATCCGGGCACTGCGTGAAGCCCACGAGGCCTTCCGTTCCTCGCTGAGCTCCGCTCAGGCCGACTTCAACCAGCTGGCCGAGCTGGACCAGCAGATCAAGAGCTACCAGGTGGTGTCCAACCCCTACACCTGGTTCACCATGGAGGCCCTGGAGGAGACCTGGAGAAACCTGCAGAAGATCATCAAGGTCTCCACATCAAAGATGATTTATGCATTCACACACATTCTTATTCACAAACACAACCTGCTAATGTTTTCATTCATGTTCTCCTCTAAGCCAACAAACCCGTCCTCTCCAAGTCTGAGCTCTTACCCGTCATGTCAGCAGACCAGATAAAGTGACTTGAGTCCTGCAGGACTTCAGTTCAGGAATGCAAGCTGACTTTTTATCTGCCAAGACTGATTCTGATACCAGTGCTCTGTTTTTTGGAAATGAGAAACACTTCCTGCAATGAGTCAACTGCTGACTGAAAGGGGATCAGAGTGGACTCTCTGTCCTCTGTGTGTCCACAGGACAACTGAGGGAAAAGGGACTTATCCTGTGTTTGGATCCATGTACTATATTAAAAACCATATGACTTCATGTCTTCACAATAATATGAGTTTATTGTGAAGTACATGCACAAAGTGATGGGTATCAGTAGTAGCTTCACACAGCAATGTGCAGCACTCAATCCACTTACAGTCAGAGATGTGGCCAGTGCAGACTGGATGGATCCAATCTGTTCATCCCTAAGATTACAACTGCAAAGATAAGTGTACTTGTCGGCCATTATCTCTAGATCCGTCCCTGATCTGTAGTCCGATACACGGGCTACTGCTGAGGCTCTGGTTTTGATCATGGACGGGCTGCTTACTATCTCTTTACGGAGCTTTCATTCACTTCCCTTCATCGTCTCTCATTCGTTACTTCAGTTTGGCCATTAGTCAAAGTGACCATAAGGATGCTCAACAGGGCACGCCTGAAATCAAACCGACAAAGTTATCGCATAACTGTAGATTAATAAAAGATACAGGTAAAGGGGAAACGCAACATTATTATTTCCATTTCTTTTTAGTTTATTTCCTGTGTATTTTGCACACTAATCCATTTTTACTTATAAATTAAAATATGAATTATTTTTACCTGTTATATGAACCTGCAAATCAGAATCTTTATTGGCCAGATAATATCAGACATCAGTCTGCAGGAGGGCAGGTACACTTCCAGTGACTGGGAGCACCACTTCAGTGGTTGATTTGATACAAAGAATTGGGATTAGTTTAATTAAACAGAAATAAAATTATTTTTTTTAGGAAGTGTAAATTGTGCCCCAAGTCTTCATGATTAGTAGTAAATGGACGCAGCAGTGCCTGGAGTGTTTACGGCTAGCTTGTCATTATTTGTTCTATTTCTATTCCCAGTGCAGTGGAGCTGATGGAGTCTGCTTCTCTCTGTCTGTACATGTTCTTGTAGGAGCGAGAGCTGGAGCTGCAGAAGGAGCAGAGGAGGCAAGAAGAAAACGACAAGTTGCGTCAAGAGTTTGCGCAGCACGCAAATGCTTTTCACCAGTGGCTGCAGGAGACCAGGTACAGTGGCACACATGGGGGACATGCTGCACACATGGGGGACATGCTGCAGACACTGACTGCTGTTGAATTACTAGATTTCACATTTTATACTCTGATAATATGGAGTATGTGAAAGTACCTTCAAACTTTGGGCAGTGTTTGTCTGTGTAAAGTGGCTGAATAAGCTCAGCACACAGCAGGCCTTTTACTGGTCAAGTGTTTGGTCTCTTGTACCTACGTCATATTAGAACATTATCTCCATTTTCAAAGTCAAGTCATGAAACCTACTGAGCACTGTTCACACTGGTCTTTGTCATGCTAACCTGTATTTGTTTCTCTCCCGCTCTCTCTTGGCTGCTTCTTGTAATCAGGACATATCTTCTGGATGGGTTAGTATCACTTTTCTCTTTAGTATTTGTGTTATGAGTGTTGGGTGTGAAAACTGCTGATGAAAGTAAACCTTGCAGCGTCAGTCTGAGCATTCGCTGTGTTTCTGCTCCATTCTTTCTGTCTGTTTAATCTCTGGTCTTCCCCATCCTCTCTTTGCCTATCGACGGGTTATCTGTGTCTATCAGTACCAAGTAGCTGATGATCTTTCTGGAAGGTCAACCTCTTTCAAGCATTGCTCTATTTTCTTTTGCTTTTTCTGACCCACGCAGTGCCATCATGTCTGTGAGCTGCTGTACTAACATTCACGCAGGCTGCAGTCAGCTCTACTTCAAACAGTGGACTGGCTAGGTGTCACCTTGTTTACTCTGTGTACTTTAGGGATGGAAACTGTACATATACACACATTCTAAACAATACAAAAGCAACTTTTGGTGGTATTTGGTCCCACTGGGTCTTTGTGAATGAGATGGTGTTGTGTGCAGTGACTGCAGGGTGCACCATTCATCTGCTGCTCCACAAAAGTGACTGCTGCAGTTTCCATCCCTGTGTGCAGTAGCCCTAACCTTGCATGGTTTGGGTTACCAGTAGATATTTGGCATGAATGCAGCTTCACTCTGGCCGTATAGACAGCAGAACAGGTCTACTTCTCTGGGAATACTGGTTGGAGTCTTCTTAATAATGTCAGTGAGTGCAGTGGTTTTATCACACAGTGCTGCTCCCTTCCTAACATCAGTTTCTGTTGGCGTCAGGTCGTGTATGGTGGAAGAATCTGGTACCCTGGAGTCCCAGCTGGAGGCCACTAAGGTAAATATCACTCTGCTGCATGTGGACAAGTAGCCGAACACCAAGATAGCTGAGTTAGCTGAACTCTGAGCTGAGGTATAATGTTGTTGATGTATTTTATGTGTGTGTGTGTGTGTGTGTGTTATATGTAGCGTAAGCACCAGGAGATCCGTGCCATGCGCAGCCAGCTGAAGAAGATTGAAGACCTGGGTGCAGCTATGGAGGAAGCACTGATCTTGGACAACAAGTACACAGAGCACAGCACAGTGGGCCTGGCCCAGCAGTGGGACCAACTGGACCAGCTGGGAATGAGGATGCAGCACAACCTGGAGCAACAGATACAGGCCAGGTACACAGCAACACATGGTCCCAGTTACTTTATGTCACTGAGTTTATCAGACACACTTTAGCTACAGTGTTGCCAAATGTAAGAAACGTGTTGCTGCTTTAAGCTCATGTTCCTCGCTCTTCATCTTTCAGGAACACCACTGGAGTGACAGAGGAGGCCCTGAAGGAGTTCAGCATGATGTTCAAGTAAGTGGCTTTGAGCTGACTTCATCAGGACATGTTTCTATTTCTGGTCTGATGAAGTCGCGTCCTCATCTACACATCTACATTTGCAGGCACTTCGACAAGGAGAAGTCCGGCCGTCTGAACCACCAAGAGTTCAAGTCGTGTCTGCGCTCGCTAGGCTATGACCTGCCCATGGTGGAGGAAGGAGAACCTGATCCGGAGTTTGAGGCCATACTTGACACCGTGGATCCAAACAGGTCCGTCACATGTCCAGGAACTTACATTGATGTAAAGTGTAGCATGGCGGTATGGTATTTAACACACATTCGCTGCCTAACTATGAGGGATCTGTCTGCAGGGATGGCAACGTGTCGTTGCAGGAGTACATGGCGTTCATGATCAGCCGCGAGACAGAGAACGTCAAGTCCAGTGAGGAGATTGAGAGCGCCTTCCGGGCTCTCAGTACAGAGAACAAACCCTACGTCACTAAAGAAGAGCTCTACCAGGTCCGATGTGTTCACTTGTTAGTCTGGATTCAGTCTGAGTGCCAAGTCTTCGTGGAGGTCTAACTGTCCCCTTCTCCCTTTCAGAACCTGAGCAAGGAGCAGGCCGACTACTGCCTCTCACACATGAAGCCCTATCTCGACAGCAAGGGCCGAGAGCTGCCGTCAGCTTTCGACTTTGTTGAATTCACCCGCTCGCTCTTCGTCAACTGATCCGTCGTCCACCAGGGACCAATCGGGACGCGTTTCCCCACACACTTCAATACGAACACGCAGCTGAAAGTGCATGATTGTGCCACTAGGAATACTCACTAATAACTGTCTGTACTCTCTATTTATCTCGCTCTACCCTTAACTCGTTGTGCTTCTCATCATAGCATAGTGGATCTGTCTACATTGGAACGTCATTGTTTTAGCTTGTGCTTTCAATGCATTTAAGAACCTAATAGTAACAGTGATGATGTTACCAACTGCAGTGTGCTTTAATAAACGCTACTGGTTAGAACTGGAAACCTCTACTGTTTTGATTTCACATTTTTATTTTTCAAAACACAGTTCACAGAGTAGTGGCTATGCAGCAGTCTTCAGCTGTCCCATGTCAACACGTCTCATTCTGCCACCTGATTGGCTAGCTGCTCCAGCTGGCTGCTCTCTCTGGGGCTCTGCTCCGTCAAATCATGGCTCAGCCGCCAAATGCAGACCGTCCCATTAGTTTTCCCCAATGCCAAGAGGTGAGGGTTCTGACTGTTGAAGGCCAAACACGTTGCAGCTTGGCCCGCCCCGCCCTGCTCGATGGTGGCTGCTGGCCTCAGGGACCTGCTGCCCAGGTCGAATATCTGCACCTCACCTTAGACGGAGACGAGCAGTGCACAAAGTCAACAAGGATACAAATGTCTCGAGTACTGTTGCTTCATCCAACCGTATATAGGTTTATGACATGTCATTTAGAGGTTTCATCAAGACCTGACGAGTGACCTTTTAAAATAGTGAGATGGAATGATACATGGCTCCAACTTCAATTTGATCACAGAGAACCAGTCTGCTTCCTGCTTTGAATGACATGCTAATCCAGCTTTTATTTATATCATGCACACTAAATGTTCATGCTGTACCTTGTCCGGTGGCTGCTGCAAACACCAGTGGTCTGGTTGGAGACCACTGCACCTGAAACACGTAGGAGTCTGAAGCCCTGAGAGAGAGCAGCGGGTTGACCTGCAGCAGAGAGTGGACGTGGGCCAGACCATCAGTCCCTGCACTCACAAACAGGTTTCTGCAGACAACAGCAGACCCACGTCAGGACAATTTCACTGGTGAATCATCTGAACTAATTGCTGATCACTTCTGAAATGATTTGTTCAATGAGCAAAGCTGTGACCTGTGGAAAGGGGAGCAGTGTATGGAGTGCACGGGGCCGCTGCAGGGCCTAAACAGGAAGACCGACGGGGCTCTCAGTGTCACATTGTGGCCTTCAGAGGGGGCAGCAGCCGGCGTCTGGGAGGAGAAGGAGCATCTGAGCAGCAGGCCGCCCTCAGAGCCCACCAAGAAGGTGTCTGGGTCCCAGGGGGACAGAGCCAGGGAGGTGACACCCACAGTGCTGCTGCCTCGGGCCTACGGGCAACACAAAACCACACGTGTTTTTCACGCTTTACCCACACTGCAGCACACAGGAGTAGTTTGGGTATCATTTGGAAATGTACTTTAGTTTTTGTCCTAGGGCTTGTGAGTCATTTATATCTGCCTCCTAATCAGTAATCCCATTCTACTGTGTGTGTGTGTGTGTGTGTGTCAGTCAGTCAGTCATGCTTTCACTTTTCACTTTAATGAAAACTGTAAGAGTGAATCTGGACTCTCTGCAGCAGTGATACCGTATGGTGGGTCTCATCGTTCCATCTCACTGACGCCCCTGTTCCAGGAGCTGCACACTGTACTTTTTTGTTTGATTTATTCTGACACTAGAACAGTTCAGTTTCAGTGTTTTTCCTCATCCTGAGGCTCACCTTGAAGCTGGTGTTGCTGCTGTGAGGAACCTGCTGTCGCACTAAGGCGTAGCCAGCATTCAGGACAAAGCTTCCCCGGTCTGAGTCCACCGTCCACAGCAGCACCCGTCCTCCTGAACAAGCACTGAGCACCCCAAACTCTCCTTTCTTCTGCAGGGGCACCCAGGCGACCTACACACACACACACAACTTTTAATTCAAATATCAGTTTACAGTATGGCTCTCTTAGTAGTTTTGGACTGAAGCTGATACTTCCAGATTTATTCTTGCAACTTTGCTAAAGCCTCTCAAAATGAAGTAGGGGACACTAAACCGGTCCACTGGCACCAAAGAGCCTTCATCTGGTGTCAGTGATCAGAGTCCAGTGGTGGACCTCACTGATGGATGAGAGCAGAGCTCCAATAGAAACCAAACTTATTGTGTCTACTCGCTTGATAAACGGGCTCTCTGTGGCTGTCTGCTGACATCCCAGTTTGGACCAGCACAGGGTCCTGAGTCTGACTGGTGTCCCAGACCACCACCTCTCCACTGTAAAGACCCCCTGCAGCCACAAAAGCAAACACACACAGAATCTACAATGAGCTAAGTTGTTAGCAGAGTAAACAACTGTGTGATCTCACAGACAATCATACCTCAGTGAAAAGAATGAAACGACAACTTTAACAATCATTTATTCTGCTGTCTGCATGGCCCACAGTCACACTGCTGATTTTCTTATAAAGATCAATATACTAAACACGGTTAGTTCTACTCAGCTTGTAAACACTGTTTAGCGTGTTCTGTGGCTCTGAAGTCTGAACTTGTCCTGCGTTACAAACAAACTAAATACATTTACCAGGCAGGGGGGTAATAATGCAAGATGTTTTTGAGTTGCATTATGGGAACTCAAGGACCCGGTGTTTTTGGAAGAATAAGAAAAACCCCAACAGGAACGTAAGAAATAAATGAAGTCCAGCTTGCTTTGTACCGCTCTGTTTGGATTCATCTAGAGCCAGGATCCGACTGTTAGAAGGTTTACATCTGGTCTCAGTTGGTACAGACCGTCTAGTGAGGATCAGGTCGCCAGCTGAACAGCATGTTTTTGTTGAAAACCTTACATTTTGTTGAGCTAATTGTGTCTGAGACGACCTGCGTCAGTAACAGTGTGTAATCAGTTCATGATGTAAAAGCCTAGACTGGTACAGTACCTGCTATGAGGGCGGGCTGGTTGGGATGACAGCACAGAGCGGTGACTGCAGTGGGAACATCTATGACCAGGTCCGCTTGTTTGGGATTCAGACTGCGACGGTCCAGGTTCCACGTACAAACACACGACCTCTCAGTGCTCCAGTCGCCATCGTCAATCCTGCCCGCCAAAAACACATGTATATGTGTATGCATACACACACACACTGTGTGTGTATAAAAACACATGTATATGTGTATGCATACACACACACACTGTGTGTGTATAAAAACACATGTATATGTGTATGTATACACACACACAGTGTGTCTGTGTGTGTAAATAGAGAGAGAGAGAGAGAGAGAGATGGATAGATTAGGTGAAACGCTGACATACCGACCGTAGGCACATGCAATAACTGAACCCGTACAACTCCAGGACACACTAGTTACATGAAGACCTCTCTCTTGTGCACTGGCATGTTGAAGGCAATGGAGGCAGGAAACCTGCAAACATGAACACAAAAGAAATATTTCAACATCAAGTCACCAGGAGCAACTACAGACTTTCAGGTTCTCTTTTGGCTACTTACTAGCTGATTCTGATCTTCCCAGTTCACCTGGAACTCATCAAAGGCGTGACTCCTGGCATTTCTGACCAACTCTCTGATGACCGTGTCCTCAACCCGCTGCAGGAAGTCCTTCAGGCCGGGCGGCTCCAGCTCGTCGTGGCTTTGCTGGAGGAGCTGCTCTTTGGCCTGATACTGTGGGTCTGTTTGGGTACAGCTGATGGTAGCCCACTGGGTCTGGACCTCTGCCTCAGCACTGTGCACCGCTCTGGTCTGACAGCCTCTCTGAATACCAGCAAATAAAGGCCCTTCTATTTAGGGATGCACTTCAATCATACTGTAACTGCAATCACAATTGTGAGTTCTAAAATGATTTAGACTAAAGGAGGTGCAATATTGATGCATTGTGTTGTTAAACCTGAATTGTAAGTTTTAGGTGAGTGTAACTGTGTAAAATGTGTTTGTGTATTATCATTAAACAAATCTGTGTTTTACAAGTATTCTCATACTCAAATGGTCTTGGTCTAAAGCAGCAGATTGTTTAATGCTGTGTTCAATTTTCCTTGTGGTTGTTATATTTCCGAGCAACACCTGAATGTGACATGTGTCCGCTAATGCTAACTACTGTGCAACCTTGTTTCTGTAATACATGAAATATTCGGTAACTACAGATATCAAGTACGTTATGATTCATAGGAACAGAGAGAAAGTTTCACTATTGGTCGAACATACCGACTCCTGCTCCGCCTGCTGAGATCTCCTCCACAGAGAGCGGACACTCACGGGGTCCAGGGCTTCGTCAGTAAACATGCTAGTGATAGGGATTTAAATACAAGTTAAATGGTTCACATTGACTACCTTAAATAGCGTTCTCTGTATTCAGACAGGTTTGACAGAATATTAACCGTGTGGCCCATTTCACACAGCTACCGTTAGCTCGGTCAGCTAGCTGTTTTCCACGCTGGGGCCATTTTCCTCAAAGCTAGCGTCACCTTGGTTACGTAGATAAAGTCCTGAGTCAAGAGAAAATTCCACTTCCGCATTCTTTCTCTGTCTCTTTTTCGGTTTTATGGCGGGTGGCAACCAGAATTAGCTCCACTATGTTGGAGTGTGAACTAGACTTTTCCAACCCATTTACCAAACAAACAGACTAATAAAAGAAAACACAACAAAAAACTTTTCTTTTTTCAGATATTGGAATATTCTCCCTAACCCGATGTCAAATACATGTTTTAGACTCCGTTCCTCTGATTTCCTGAACTTGTTCTGGTTCTCGTACTTTGCATTGTACAATTACATGCTCTGTTTATTCCTCTTCCTGACATTGTTCATCCTGTAGGATGTTTACTTACGAAGCGCAGTGTTTTATTACCTCTAGTATGTCCTCTCGGATAGTGAGGATGTCCTCCTCTCGGATAGTTGGGATGTCCTCTCGGATAGTTGGGATGTCCTCTCGGATAGTTAGGATGTCCTCTCGGATAGTTGGGATGTCCTCTCAGATAGTTGGGATGTCCTCCTCTCGGATAGTTGGGATGTCCTCTCGGATAGTGAGGATGTCCTCGGATAGTTGGGATGCCCTCCTCTCGGATAGTTGGGATGCCCTCCTCTCGGATAGTTGGGATGTCCTCTCGGATAGTTGGGATGTCCTCTCGGATAGTTGGGATGTCCTCCTCTCGGATAGTTGGGATGTCCTCCTTCAGGTAAAATCTTATGAATCTGCATTTGTTCCAGAATATAAAAATGGATTGACGCATATGGAAACAGCCAGGGTGGTGTAACTGGTAACGGTACTGTTTGTATCTTCTCTCACAACATGGGAGAAGTAGCTGATCAAGATCTTCAGAATGCTCTTGAAGATTTGCCCAGTAGTTCATCATTACCTGTAGAAGCATTTCACCCACCTCAACCTGAAGAGCAGACACAGGGGATGTTCTGAAAGCACCACAACAAAGTGTCAGAGCTTGAGTCTGCACCTCCTCCAACTTCTCTAATGAGGTTTTTGCTGCTGAACCATAAGCTAAACACCATAGGAGACTCAGAGCTTGTGTTGAGCCCTGGACCAGGAGTTGGTCTAGAGGCTCTGCTGCATGACCTGTTTGACCCAAAAAATGTGTACAACACTGAAGGATAGGTAAACAGAGACGGGACACCGCATGCTGCTGTCTACAGTCTTTAGTTCCATCACTTCATTTCACCCAGCTGTGTCCATCAGAGGGGCTTCACTGCTCTGTTAAGCACTTTGTGACTTTTGTCTGTGAGAAGCGCTTTATAAATACATTTGACTTACTTCACTGCATTGCATTGCAAAAGTACACTCCAAGTTTAGGTATAATAAAAATACTTTCAAAAGGTATGGTGCTGGAAACTAAGAAAACATCTTGTACAATTCAGAGGGGACTTATGATGATTTATGAAAACATATTTTAATAGGGAACTATTCATTTTGCAGTTGAAGAGACGTTTTAAGCAGAATTACCAGGAAGACATGCAGCTCCAGCATAGCAAGCTACCACTCACTGCACACTGGAAGAAGTTGAACTGCAGTAAAGCGCTCTGACAAATCCACTTTGGTTTATAAAGCCACTGAGAAACAGTAGTTTAATTATTCACTTGACAATTTACATGTGATTCGGAATTATAACAAAATATGATACCAATAACATTTACTCCTGTGTAAAACTCTAGGTTTTGACAGTGGAGCTCGCAGGAGCGTCACCGTCTTCTGCACATGAAGGCGCTACACAAAGGTGAATGGTCAAGTGTGTGGTGGTGGCTGCCTGACAAATGCATTGAAAGAAAAGGGGACGGGGCTGCTCAAAGGAGGTTTAAATACTTACTTTTTAGGGCCCCAAATTGTTTGTGGTAGTTTACACAAATAATAAAACAAGTTCATTTCTTGAATCACTGCGCAAATATAAATTAAGCTGAACCAGCAAGCAAGCTACTGCAAAATCAAGTTGAGCTACTAGTTTAAATACATCCTGGATTATGGGGAATTATGTGATCGACCATAAAGAGAACGGTGAAATGTTGGTAAGTCAGACCGTGTAGGTAGAGTTTACTGAAGCTCTGGATCAGTTTCCTCTAACACCCCCTCATGTGTGCCAGTGTTCCTGTTGTGCAGAACAGTAGCATCTACTTACATGACATACAGTAGTATCCCTTATTCTGTCAATATACAGGAACACCTCCTGTGTGTGGGAGTTCTTTAGCCCAATGAACCTTCTAATCCAGTAAAGCTGTCGGTCCAGCAATTCGTTTTCCGTTCTTAACACCGAGTAACTCAAAGTAGAATTACAACATTCTATTTATCAGTCTGTTTTTATTTTATTGCTCTCATAGCGTTCAGTTATTTGTGTGGTCATGTCTATCTGGTCTCTGTGTTTTGAGTAGACCCTAAAGAGAAGGTAGGTGGTAACTCAAAGTATGAATACCAACAACCTAACCCTACAATATGATGAACATTAAGCCCAAAAATGGAACACCGTTCATTTGGGGCTTTAGTAAAAAAGTTAAAGCTGTGTCATGTGTTTAAATACCTCTCCTATATTTTAAAAGGAGAGCAATATTCATCTGAAACCAGAGTCAGCCCAAACTGATCATTATAATTAAGAACAGGACACATCTAAACAGTAATGATTAACAATGGTCACATTAGAGAGCCAGCAGCCTCCAATACAAGACATCTCAATATGATCAGAGCTCATTGTTATCCAGCAGACAGTACAGCGAGCTGTTCCAGCTGTTTGTCAGAAGGTCATATTCTAACTTGTCCAAGCCAAAAAATAACTCCACATATCCACAAGTGCATGTGTCTGTTTTATCATTGGTCTATAAATACATTCTTGCATAAAGTGTAATCTGCGGTGTAACTTCTGGGCCTAATGACAGCAGGGTAACTGTAATGGCAAAATGTAATCAAACTACTCCAAACATCATGTATACATTTATTTCTTGTAACAAAGCAACTGGTACACTAGATTTAATGTGCACAGGAGAAACACTGCAGACTCCACAGAGGACTCCACACAAACACTTTCCTCTAAATGTTAGCTCAAGCTCAAAATTAGATCTTTTAGGTTGTTTCTATAAAAAAAAAAAAAAAAAAAAGTACATTTCAAACCTTGTTGTGGGTGTCTGGAAAAAACAAAGATCAGGAGAATTCATTTAACAGAAGTCCAAATTTGGTGTGAAAGCCCCCCCATTAAAGTGTGTACAATGAGCAACTGTCTTACCGAGATACATGTAGAACCAAAAACATTTACATCAGTTGAAAGGAACAAGCTGGTGCTTTCAATCAGTTCAATTAGTACAAGTCACAAAGGGAAATGCAACTTCTAATAAGCCACAGCATCCTCACCATACTAGATCTATGCAGACACATCTGTCCACAGATATGGTGGCTCAGGATGCTCTGACTATCACTGCACCATGGCTTCATCTTTATTCAACTCACAACAGAAACTGTCATATTTTACAGAGAAATTGCTATGGTACGTATTTCAAATGTACGTAGGATGACGTGCAGAATGCTACAGTTGTTTATGTCTTTGGGAGATGAAGACTAACAATGATGGGTGAGACTTCAGGAGAAGTCCTCCTCCCACCTACACCCAATGTAGACCTGCTGTGTGTGGAGCTAGTCTTTAGACATGGTGTTATGGACAGGTGCCTGCAGAGGAAGAGGACGGATGGGCTGACAACACACAGGGAAAGATTTTTTTGTTTTGTTTTTCACAACCACACCCACCCCCACACACACACACACACACCCCCACACACACACACACACACACACACACACACACACACACAATATTTTGCTCCTGTGGGATGTAGGGTGATTGGGAGAAGGTGTTGGCTGAAGGGTTTAATCATCCTCAGCATCCTCCTGAAAGAAGGAAACGGTGTTACACTGGTTCCTCCCTCATCACTGCAGTCAGCTGTTGAACATCTTTAGGGACTTCTACAGTCTCATCACAACAAGAGATCTACAGTATCCGTACCTCTCCATCTTCTCCATCACCATCCTCATCATCGTCATCTTCACCTTCCTCTTCCTCCCCCTCGTCAATATCTTCCAGACCCTCCTCTTCCTCGTCATCATCATCGCCGTCACCTTCCTCGTCCTCCATGTCAGGGACCTTGGGATGATTCAGACATTAACCACTTGGTCCCGGCTTAGAAGCAGTGACGTGTTAGCCTGCTGTTTGGAAGTCAGATGTTTTATATTAACACTAAACTACCAAACATGTAATAAAGATTCTTGGGCTGTCATATGTAGAGTGTAATGAAGTGTATGAATGTAGACTGCTAGGTATACTTCTGTGATCAGCCCTTATATCAGTCAGGCTCCTCATCGCGTTGAACAGGGTTCAAATGATATCAGATACTGTACTTGATGTCCTGTAGACACAACATGACGACTGGAAATGTGAAAAGCTCCAGAGAGCTATTAAGCCAACCGTCAGTAAGAGTTTTGATCTTTGAAAGGGTTCATTTGAAGTTTCATGTAAAAACAACAAACCAAATATGTATTATTTATGTCACATGAACCCACTAAATCCCACCCATCTGGAGGGGCAGTATCAGCCCAGTGTGGCATTTCCCTGACCCTGAACTAATAGCGGAATACTTACAATTTCAAATGTTTACAAAAAAATGAACTAAGTGTCACTGTAATAACTTTCCAGAGTTGTAAACCCAGCTCTGTTTGATGTCTGATGGGCCTTCAAACATATGGATCTGGACTTCATCCCGCCATCATGTCACCAGTACCTCAAGCACCACGCCCCACCTTGCTTTGTTTTAGCACAGTGCTGATTTGTGTCTGAAGGCTCTGTAGACAAGAGGAAAGCACGGTAAAGGGCCGAAGCCTACCAAGTAGTACTGCAGCGGATTAGGCCAGATGTCGTCCTTGATCACTTCTCCCAGCTCGTCAGCTCCTGCGTCGGAGTGATCGGTAAACCAGGTGAAGAAGCTCTCTGGCTCCTCGTGCTGCCTCTTCTTCCCCGCTTTGTTTGGTGTCTGGCCCGTACGCTTCGTCAGGTCCTGGGGAGGATTCAATGTTATAATATTGACAAGAGAATAATAATTGTAACCATTGTCAAGTGTGGCACTGAGGTGAAATAATTATTAATTACATATTTTGTAGTGATAAATAAAGAAATAACATCACAATCAGGTCAAAGACAAATGCAAACAGACCTTTCCAGCCTTCCATTTGATTTCAGTTGATTTGGAAACGGGATCTCCGCTCTCATTCACATTAAACTCCTTGGAGAGGGCTTTGTTCTCAAAATACGGGTTCTCGTCAAAGTACTACAGAAAAGAAAACACATCTGTATCAGTGTATGCCATTTAGAATGTACAACTACAAAGTGAAGCTGACAACTCACAAAATCTATTCTATATCCAGACTTGATGTCCTCAAACTCCGTGACCTCCACCCGCGACAAGTAGTGAAGTGCTTCCTCGTCGTCCTCGCCCAGAAGAGCTGAAACTAGAGGCCAAGCACAGACACCGTTTCCTCTGTGCTAACGACAAATATCAAAGCATAGTGGAACACATTTGGACAATGGTCATTTACGCCACCGCTGATCATTTCGGTTGGAGTCACCACGTGTACACAAACAGATGAAATGATAACAAAATATAGTTTACCTTGTGGATGGTTGACAAATGTTGTGACCCAGAAGTTGGGGATTTTGGCTATGAGTTCTGATCGCTTCTGAAAGAAGGGCTGGCGTAATTTGTTGTACTTCTGCTCTACTTTTAAAATTTCTTCACTGGCCTGTTCATTCAGTCTGTAGAGAAAAATAACTCCTGTTAATAAGAACTTTCTCCGGGCGTCCATCTTTCATTACATATAAGCAAGAGTCACACTCACCTGTCAATTTCATTCTGTACTTCGTCGATGTGTTCAATTGCTTCCTGTTGCTCTTTTTCTGAAAGTAAAAAGAACACTTTTAACTTAAGACTTTGGACTTAAAAAGGTACATGTCATGCAAAGTCATGTTACAACATGTCAAATCAGCGCAGTTACATTGGATCTGTTCAGCCTGAAACATCTGGTATCAGTAGGGTTATTACATTACAGTCATTTAGCAGACGCTTTTATCCAAAGCGACATGCAATAAGTTATACCTTCCTCTGGCGAACAAAACTCCATGAAATGAAATACACAAACATCACTGTTTGAGAGGACCTAAAGCTACTTAGTTCAATAATAAGTGATTAGACACTTCACTCACTGTGCATGTACTCGATCAACGGATCTTTATTTGATCCATTTCATTTAGTCACAACTTCACTGTCACAGCACATGTAGCCAGGCTTTATACGACCTCAACTTTACTTTGTGAAAAAACGCCTTTCCTTGCTTAAACAAGTCATAAATATAAAACCAATCAAATAATAAAACAGAAAAAAATTAAGGTGATTAATATTCTCGATGTGAACCTACAGCAGATTTAAAAAAGGATGTGGTTGATTTCAGCTGAAAGATTCTCGATCAGTACTCCATTGCATGCAGAGTGTTAAATAACGTGTGTGTGTGTGTGTGTGTGTGTGTGTGTGTGTGAGACCCTTGCCTCTAGAGCTTCCTGTTGCTGCTAAAGGCGGCCTGGTTTGAATGCGAGGCTAAGCGACGTCTCACTACTAAACGCTGTCTGCTTCACATTGCCGCTATCACGCTGCGAGCTCCACCAAAGACTCCCTGAGCATGTGGGAGGAATAACAACATTCCGTACAGCACCTAAAAGCGACATGCTAGCCACCGTACAGAAGAAGAAGCGCTTGTTGACGTTTTGCTCCGCGGCCACCTCGCACACCACAGCCGAGCTCAAAAGCATGGTCCGGTAAACTGAACCGCTCACGTTAACGCCATCGGTGTTCGGCTCATCTTGGCCGATTGAAAACGACATAACGTCATGTGAATGTTGCACTCGCTAATAATGTTGGCAAACAATCGCTATAGAAGTTCAAGCTGCAAACGAGTGCGAGGAGGAGCATAGCTGCACACGGTTTCAGCAATACCTCCCGACAACAAACCCCCGAACAGTATCTGCATGAACAATAAACGCACATCACGCTAAATGCAGCTTATGCGATGCAAGTACCGGCCTTCTTCATGGGAACTAACGTTAGTTGCTAATGTCTAGCTAACCTCTCACGCTGGCTAAATAGTTAGCCTATGCTATCATGCTACCTTACATTACAGTCCTGCGCAACATTCCCCCTATGTGTAACGTTATGTGTAGGAAAGCTAAATTAAGCCGTTCGTCCATAAATTAATCCATTCGACACAACACAACAAACTACACTAAAAATACCAAAATTGCGAAAAACAAATGAAAATGGCGTTGTACAGGATAACCGCCATTCCTTCACGTTACCAGACGTCTCGTCCGCTCCATCGTGATTGGAATTCTCCTTTCTGTTGACTTTCGCCGATGAGGCCGACATGGTTATCGTTTGTCGTGACACCTTTGACCAGATGTATATTCCGAGTGGTTTATAACTCTTCTCTGGAGGATAAAAGTTACTTCCACCTTACATAGAGTGCGTGTATTGGAGCCCACGATAGGGAGGGATGAGCGCAGCTTCGCACGCTTGTTTCTCTCTGTGGCGCTCGGTCGGTGAACACATGTATAGCGCTCTACTGCCCCCTGCTGGCTGGAGTGCGACACGGCATCTTAAAGCAACAGGCAGTGCATTCAATTCAAATCTGTTGGTGTCCAATGGACGCGTTAGTTCACTTTGTCCGTCCATCTACCTTAACTATATGTTCAGTCAGCTAAACTTACTCTGGATAACAATTTGAAAGCTCTCTGCCAATGTGCTATTTTTTTTAAAACAACTTTCATCAATTCTTCCCTTTTCTAGTATTGCATTTTCCATTTTCGGTGCAGGAGCTATTCAACTACTTTTCAGAATCAAAATACAGTTTTAATGTAAGTGTGAGCACATACAAGGAATTTGACTTTGGTATTTGGTATTGCCCTCAATATTTCCTTCATGTAGTTACATGCATGGCTAAAAACAGGGACAACAAAGCTGAACAAAGGTAAATGTTAACACAGCCAGCAACTCCTCACAGTTCCTAAAACGTCTGCGTACTTTTTCAAATAGGCATTGTTTAGATAAACTAATCGTATATTAGAAATGTAAATGGTTAATGCTTTATGACAATGCTTTTTGGGCAATTAAAGGATGATAAAGCTCGTGACGCAATGATTAAGCGCCCTAGTTCAGGTGAAAGAGTCCTGGATGGAGGGTAGGTTGGCACCAAGCACCAGCAGCTTCTGAGGTAGGTTGAACTTCCTCTGCTGGGCCACGGATGTTGTCTGTTGGAAGTCCACTTGAGGTCCCGGTATGGTGGATCCCAGAAAACTGAAGGCTTTCACAGCACTGTGTTGTTCAGGCTGGTGATGGGGGGCAGTACACTGTCATTCAACAGTTTTAAGAATGTTCAGCTCCAGGTTGTTCTGACCACAGACATGTATTATTGGATTTTACATTGTATAGGTTTTAATTTGAAAACGTTTTTATATATATACTTTTAAATGATAATAAAACGGATGATTTATTTTCATTATTTCAGCCGATTGTTGTAAATGACTATAAAAGTATTAATTTGGAAAGAGTGTATTATGTTCCCTTTTGTTGCAAAACCAGCAAAATCATACTTCAATAAAATGAATGAGAGAAAAAAAAGTACAAGGTGGTTACTCTAAGGATGTATACAGAGAACGGGTGGCTCCGGTGACTCAACTAAAATCATAAAACTGATTTACGGAAGCTGACCTGTGGTAACAACAATGGGTGTTCTCAGGAAATGTGGCTCCGCCCGCTCAGCTCGGCAGCTTCTTGATGGGTGCCGAACTAGTGCCACTGACTACCGCAGAGGTGCCAGTGCCACAAGAAGGATCTCGGCCCTGCTCCTCCATTCTCTCGGCAGCCATGGTAGAGAGGCCGGGCAGGTCATCCAGCAGGTAGTGGTGGTCCGTCTGTGGTCCTCGTTCGTGGGGGGGCGTCAAGGCGGCTGAGTGAAAAAGCAAGACATGCAACGTGGGTGTTGGGGCTTTATAGGTGGGCGTGTGCCATGGGTGTGCTACCCTCCGATTGGGCGGTGAGTGCATGCATTTTATTTACTCAAAAGCCAATATTTGCTCACTTTTATCTTTTGTGCTGACCAGAATCCGTGATACGATTTAACCGTGACATTTATGATCCATTGCAGTTTCCTTAAAAGCATATCACATAGAAAATAAACCTTTGTGAGCATATGTTTTCATGTCAAAGTTCACCACATGTTAAATATGGATTTAATGGTTCTCAGATTGCTACTTATTAACTACCTTAACTTATGTCAAGTCATCAACAACAACACGCCGCATATTGAAATCATTTAATCGGCTTTCATTTTCTCTAAAGAGGAGATTGTGTTTGGTTTCATGAATGATTGAAGAACTATCAGTTGAGTAAGCCGAGCATGGGAGGAGACCATAGGCTACGTGAACGCATCATGTGTTTACCTCTGCAGGTGTATTGAATACTCGAATGTGATTGGTTCTTGCAGCGTTTCTGTCATATCGACTGCCAACCAATCCATCCGCCGTCGACTGACGTCAGCTTTGCGTCGAGCCCCAGTTTAAGTCAATTCAAACTTCCATTGAGATGTTTCCATTATGAGCAGGAGGAGCTACACCCCTATGGAGCCCGTGAACAGCCGTAGCAGACGTTGAATTCTACATGCCACCGGCAGGTTACCGAGGCTTATGTTAGTTGTACCGATTCACTCTGGCCCAAAGAACCCGGCAGCTGGAGCAGACGTTGACGCTGTGTGACAACTGACGGCCACCATGTCAGGTTTAACACCTCAGGTAAAATGAATGCCACAGATTGTGTAGTTTGTCAAATGAAGTTACATTGTCATGGAGACGTTAGGTGGCAACATTACGCCTGCTAGTATTAGCCGAAGTTAAGTTCTAACTCAAGGTGCTACTTTGACAGACATGCGCACTGGTATTTCCTGTTCGTCTTGTTTGCCTCTCCTCATAGTTCCTCTTGTCTTTGTGGTTATCATATACATTGCTTACCTCTAACTAATGTTTCACTGTAGCTCACTATTTAAACCACTCAGTCTTTAAGAAAAGGAAAGATAGTAGGAGTAGCTCAGCTATCTGCTTGACATGAGCCTTCTCCCACAATCAGCATAGTGACGTTGTGATTTGACTAAAATGCTTTATTTCAATAAAGGTTGGTTTACACTTTGAATATATTTGTTGGTGTTGGTAAAAGAAGATGAACTGCTGAGAAGTTTGAGTATAATTCGACATCGTATGAAAATAAGAAATTATTTATAAAATTAATTTTACAAATAAATATAACAAGTGCAATTTCCACAGGGTCAGCCTATTTAATATGAATAAATGTAGAACTGCGTGCCATCGATTGGGCACTATGCTGTTGATTGTGTTTTCATAGCAGCAGACTTTCAGGAGAAGGTGCAGGACTTGTTTTGTTTGGCAGGAGTGTCCTACAGGAGACAATGGGAATAGATGGATACCGGAAAGCCCTAGCCACCTCGGAGCTCTGCTCGGCCTACAGCAGTTACTAGCAGCAGAGGTTTGATGATTTAATAGTGAGTGTAGTTGAATAGTTTGTTTAGGTAAAGCTTATGGAATGAAACATGTAGGGTAGACGCCTTAAAGCTCATCTAATCCATCTTCAACAAACCAACAATATTGTCATTACATCTTTGAACCTTTGTTTATTTTTCATCGTTTCTTTTCATATAATTTAAACTTCTTATTGCTTACAAGAACATGATCACAATTAGTGCTATTATTTCTTATTTTTTTGATTATTTCTTTGAATACTTTATTAATACAAAAACCATGTCCCTTGAATATCTCGACAACCGTTCATCAGATCCACCCTTGGTGGGTGTATTGCTGGCCACCCAAAGTATCAAATATGGTGCTATTTGAACACACAACACGTTCAATATGAATACATTTTGAATAAACAAGCACACAGTGCTCTGTGCAGCAGGGGGCGGAGCTTCAGGGCTCCAGCATGTCATCCTTTGGTTTAGCAAAACTGAACTCGGGACTCTCCTAATCTGTGATTTTTCATTTAAGACTAAATGACTTAAGAAAAACAGACTTACGTATGTAATTGTTAATGAAAACGAGAATAAGTTTAAGTCCCAATCTTGACACAGCACCTGATGTCCTGACACTGTGAGAAGGCTGGGCTGCCACTGGAGTAGACCGCTAAGCAGACGTGTATCCACAAGAGAGGGGCATTGTGTCGGTGATGGGTTTACAGGAGCAGTTTGCAAACTACTTGAATTTCAGCTCCTGAAATCCATATGTATTCATAAATCTTGTTTAAGGAGCGTGTTCCATAAAACAACCAGAGAGACATGTGTGACAGCTCGACCCTATTATAAGTGATCGTAGCATATTTTTTAGAAACAATATAGACAGCTGGCCACATTTCTTCATAATATGTAATATAATATGTGATCATAACGAGATATAAATATGAACTGCAGTGATCAGACATTGAAGCAGCTGTGGTGTGTCCTTCAGAGTGGCAGCCTGCAGGGTCTGGATGAGGATATTCTAGACCCAGAGTTTCAGCAGCGTTTGGAAGATGCCCGTACTCTGCTCAGGCAGGAGATCCAGCGCGAGTTGAAGATCAAGGAGGCTGCTGAGAGACTTCGGCGGGCTGTCACCAATCGCAAAAACGCTGCCGATGTGGAGGACCAGCTCAAAGCCTCGAGCCGCAAGCTGGAGAAGTTGCACTGGGACCTGCAGGAGCTTAATGCCAGGTCCATGGCCACCGAGAAGGACTGCACCACAGGTAACTAAAAGACATCATTTGCTGGAATGCATTTTGATAAACGGCAACTTGTACTTATCATCCCTTCAGTCGGTCATTTTGTCCAACACTTTGGTGAACTCTAGACTTCCATGTGGTCTAAATGTCCTCTTGACCAATTCAATTGTGACTGTGCCTAGACTCCTCTAATGTTCTCCTAAAAGAAAAGTGACCGTAGATCATCTGAGTCACTTTCCACCAAAAGATCAAAACCTCTTATTTAACACAAGTTCCTTGATTATTAGGTCTCTGCTGTTTATAAAACAGGTTTCTCTCCAATGTATTTGTTTTTGTATTAATAAAGTATTCAAATAAATAATCAGAAAAATAAGAAATAATAGCACTAATTGTGATCATGCTCTTGTTATTGTAAGTAATAAGATAAGAAGACTCATTTAAATTACATGAAAATAAACAAAGGTTCAAAGATGTAATGACAATATTGTTGGTTTGTTGAAGATGGATTAGATGAGCTTTAAGGCGTCTACCCTACATGTTTCATTCCATAAGCTTTACCTAAACAAACTATTCAACTACACTCACTATTAAATCATCAAACCTCTGCTGCTAGTAACTGCTGTAGGCCGATGTGGTATTTTGAAAACAAATGGGCAGATTTCTATTCTTTTTGAGGTGGATATTTAAGTTTGTGAAGGATGAACTCTCCAGAGGATGAACCCTGTCTGGGTTGGACACTCCAGGAGCTTTTTTTGTAGACGGCCGTGGAGGGAAGCCACTTTGGGCTGCATGTTTATTATCAGGCTTTAGACCTTTAGGTGGACATTTACCAAAGACTTTCAGGCATAAATTAAATCTTTATTTATTGCTATTAAGAGGTACAAATTAAGGGAGGAGGGAATGGAAATGCTGCACTGGATTTAACACCATTGACTGATCACAGCAGCAGAGGAACAGTGAGACAGAGTTCTGATAGTTGAGACAATGAAAGTACTTCAGTGACAGCAGCAAGGAATAATCCAGCATACTGTAAAATACATTTACGGCAGCTCTCTGTTCAGCACACCAAAAGTGTATACATTTAAATGTTTTACAAAAAATCTTGCACATAGATTTTTCATAAATCAATTGCGTTGAGCTGATGACATCAGGCCATTACATTACAGTCATTTAGCATACCATTTACATAAGCAGCCTTTCTCTCTGAAACACTTCAACCAATAGTCCAAACTCGGCAGCAGAAAACACTTCCTTTTGCACTCCATTAGTTTCCAGATGTACAGTATGTAACATGTCAAAACAGGCATTTGGTCTTATTGAGCTGCACTTTATGCAAATCAGCAGCTGGACTCATTTGCATATGTGGTCTTTGTAAATAAGCAGCTACATTCAAATAATGCAGTCAAGCAAACTCATTGTGCACCTGCTGCTAATTTGAATAATATTATTTTACGTTTCATGTAAGCTACTTCTCTATCTGATTGTGAGTGACGGATTATTCCACGTTACATCAACAGTGGACTTTCTTCTTTTTATTTATATCCAACTCTGGCAAAGTTTTGTGTTCAATGTTAAGTCAAATGATTGTGTCTCTCCAGAAGAGACGAGAGATGTAACTGAGAGATGTCATAGAACCCTCTCAAATGAAAGAGAATAGTTTCCCGAGATTTCTGAAGCCTGACCCACCATGGTTATTTGTATGCAGGCTGCTTGGAGGAGGAGGAGGAGGACAACCTATCAGCAGAGTCGTGTCCGTGGGAAGAGGTCAACTCACCAGTGGACAGTCGGGTCAGAACCCTGAAGAAACAGCTCACCATGGAAACCAAAGTCAAACAGGGCGCTGAGAACATGATCCAGACTTACAGCAACAGCTCAGTCAAGGTGCAGTGCAGTATGGCCCACATTAGACACACACACAGCTGGTCAGTTTGCTGATGGAGATGGTTTTCTTCCATGGTCTGTCTGTAGCAGGGAGGTGACACTGACTCATGTGGTACATGGCTGACAGCAGCAGAAAGCATGTGTGATGTGTGAGACAGGACAGAGGAGTGAACGGAGGGAAACAAGAGGGCAGGGCTGTTCCCCTGGGTAGAGCATGCTTTAGCATGCTTTCATTCCATCCTGGCTTACTTGCTATTTATTTCTTCTTTTCATCCTCTTATTGTTTTTCTTCAATGTGTTTTAAATGTTGTAAATATCTTCTGCTAAACTCTTATAAAACAGGGTAGTATTGTGAATAAATGTAAGGGAATCCAGAGATCTGTGTGTTGTGAGGGCATGCCAAAGTAATGACATAAAGCCAACAAAGACTGAGTTTTATATCATTTTAAATCATTAGTTATATATCATGAAAGCTGGTTCTTGGTTCTTTAGGTCTGTGTGTTCAACCATGAACAATGCAGGCGAGGACTGAGGATGTCTTTATTGTACCACAGAGAAGCTGTAAATAGTGCAGGTTTGTAAAGGAATGAAGTTTATTAGTGCCAAATACAAAACTGTCCTTACAGAGAAGCAGAAAGAAAAGACACTGTGCACTGATTCTGTTGCTGTTACATCATGCAAATGCATTCAAAATAACAGCATCTCTCACTAGTGTTACTGTAAATCGACTTCAGCAATTGTCCATCTGAAGTAGAGGAAAGAGAGAAAGATGAGACATGCCTCCAAAAACGTTCAAACACAGGAAGTCTAGATGGATGTGGTCTTGGCTGAGCTGTACTTCCAATGATATGCTACTTCAGTACACTTCAAGGATATGTTACTGGGACTACAGGAAATGAGCATTTAATATGCAGGAATTCACATCATAGACACCGCTGATTTGGCCACAATTTACCACATTGACCATACACGGTCCAACCACATAGTACTTTGTTTCCACCAAGTCTTGCTCTCATTATATTCTGATGCATCTGCGTTGGACAACATGCATTAAGCTCCCGTTTATTTTCCAGGACAGGAAGATGATGACTACAGCCCAGCAGATGTTACAGGACAGTCGCACTAAGATTGAGCTCCTGCGCATGCAGATCATCAAAGTCAGTCAAGCCAGAGATGGGGAGCAGGAGGGCCCACATGGTGAATCTTCTACTTTATAATCTCCACCTGCACGCAGTATAAAACGCCCACGAATGAAAGAGTTAACTGTGACCCGGTAACTCGCACTCATCAGGAGCTTTTCATTCAATCCCGGTAGTCTCATATTGACAGATTGAATCAACCTCAATATATCTTAACTTTTACAACAAGACAAATGCTAACAATATGAAAGATGTGTCAATGTATCACATAGAATAATCGAATCCTTCTCTCAGTTTGAGTTAAAGACATGATGTTAAATCAAACAACTGCTGTCAAGGTCCAGAATGATTTTACATTTTTAAATACAGCAAGAATTATTTAGTTTGTTTTAAGTTCAAGTTTGCTTGAAATTCCTGATTTGAACAACAGGGCTTTGTAAAAACAAATGTATTGATTTATCATCAAGCCCTTGTATGTACAGGATTTTGTATAGATTACCAATACATTTGACAACATAGATTATTGCATTGTAGTCATCCTCATTCATTTTTTAATTTTTGTTTTGTCCATTTTAATGTTTAAAATGGACAAAGCTGACCGTAACATATATATATATATTTTTTTAAGGCCATATTATCTATTTGAGTAAATGGGGGGGGGGGGAACAATGAAAGCATCAAACGGTGCGTCTATAATGTTTAATAGCTCAGAGACAAAGGTATCTGTTCTCACATCGGCTGCTGATGCCCTCAGGTCACCCTGTGGAGATGATCAGTGCTCTGGAGCTGCGGATAGCTGACCTCATGCACCACATGAAGATTGAATCGGCCGTAGCAGAAGGAGCCAAAAATGTGGTGAAGCAGCTGAGTGGGCGCAAGATCCAGGACCGCCGCGTACTAGCAGAGGTGGGTTTAGGGTGTTCTGTTCTATTTTTGGGAACGATACTATGTAGTGATTTAATAGAAATCAGAGCAAAAACCAAACCTAACATAAGTCAAAGACTGTATAAGTGAAGAAGTGTTGGAGGTTTAATAGATGGATTTCTGGGTGAACAAGTGGTGAAAATGCTGCTTTCTATGAGGCTACAGCCATGGGTCCAAGTTAATTAGCTGTTGTATTTGCAACAGGTACCTGCAGTGCATTTAAAAGCACATCTGCTGACTGGAGTATTATTTTCTGCGCTGATATTTTAGATATGAACTCGCATTAAGTACACAGCAAGTGCAGCCAACGTCATAATATATATTTTCCTCCATAAGATGAATGTGTGAGCAGGGACTTTCTCTGTGGTTATTAAACCACTTGTTTCAGCTCTATCCTCTCTGGTAACATCATTGTTGGACAGTGAATTCATGTGCCAGGATTCTGATCATATTTGACTCTTAGATTGTTTATTATCTGTGACTTCATATTGGATTTGAGATGGTACGTTTGCTCAAAAGTTGTGTCCTTTCTCTCGTAGTGGTGTTTCATTTATTTATCTGTTTATTTTATTTTAACTTTTTTATTTGAATATCTCCCTCCCACTTTATTTTACTTATCAATTTATTCTTTATGAATTCATTTTACTACCAGGTTTTACATTAGTGTTGATATTATTCCTTGTTTTCATGTATATAGATGTGCGTATGTATGTGTGTAGGTGTTCTGTAAAGGGACAACAAACACGGTTAAAAAAGGAAAAGAAAAGCGTACGAATGCAGCCCTAACCCTGGCAAGCAAACAGGAGATGGTGAGAGGGTTATAGCCATGATTACTGATGTTGAATGAAACACTTCTTTCCTGTGCCACAGTGAATGCATCCAAGAACCCACCTCTTCACCAGCATGCATAGTATTATTTATTTAAACTGTATAGCTTTGAGTGTGATTAGACTCTGGCTGGTGACCTTTGTTTCATGTCATAATCCCCCCCTCAGAAGAACAAAGATTGAGCCGGGCTGTACTCTTGTGTTTGTGTGTCCCTCAGGCCCAGACACGCATGCAAGAGTCTTCTCAGAAGGTGGATTTGTTGAGTCTCTCCCTGGAGAGACGTTTAAGTGAGCTGCCTTGGAACCATCCCAAACATGCTGCCATCAAGGAGGAGCTGTTGTTGGGAACCCCGCCTTCCTGTGGCATACCAAAGAAGCAATGCAACACTCTGTCCTCTTCCTCCTCTTCCTTCAAACCAGCCAGTCTAACAGGTTGCTATTAATATATTCCAATATTTATTTCATTTCTTTATTAAACAACTTCAGTGGTGGAAAGTAACAAAGTAAATCTGCTCTCAAGTACTCAAATACTGTACTTAAGTATCATTTTGAGATACAATTTACTATTTTTAATCACTTTTTTCTTCTACATTAATACATTTCGGAGAAAAACATTGTAATTATTATGCCAATACATTTATTCAACAACTTTAGTCATTGTTCAGATTAAGATTCTACATAAAACAAATGAGTAGCTTATGACATTGTTACTTGAATCATTATTACAGATAAAAAGCAGTGGTTCCCAACCTTTCTGTCCTGTGACCCTGAACAAAAGGACAGTGTCTGTGATTGGCTTCTCATGTTCCAGATGTTCCTGCACTTCCACCACAGAGACATTTCGTCTCTCAACTAAAAGCTGAAAACACATTTGTGTATTACAACTTAGTTTTTAGTTTTTCCTCTCCCATTGATCATCTCGCCATCACTCAGATTTCTTTAGTGACCCTTTGGAGGGGCTTGACTTTTAGGCTGGAACCAGTGGAATACACCTGTAGGGTAGCTCAAACCAAGCACTCTGATTGGTTCATAGCCATGATGTAATACCCATATACTACTGCTATGACGTCTAATTCCTTTGCACTTTCAGTATCGCTCTGCGTCTGAGAAAACAAATGTTCGACTAATGTGTTGTCATGGTTGCTTAGCAACAGGGTCACGGGAGGTTCAGGTTCACATACAAAGTACCAGACCTGCTACAGATGGAGTCAATAAGTTCACTTCTATGGAGGAGCGGATTAATCGGCACCCATCTGCAGAAAAAACCTGCTGAACAACATGCTGAACAACATGCAGAACTAAGTAAAGAGGAAGATCAACAGTGTTACCCAGATATGAAGCAGAAACTCACCAACCACTGCCTCCAACACCACCATTCAGGAGCTGTCTGATGGGTCTCTCCAGAGCTAATGGCAACCCAAACTCAGGGACCAGAGGAAGTGGAGCTACATCCTCCCACGCCAAGCAACACACCTCCACCTAACCAATCCAGCCAGCCTGGTTCTCTTACTGACGCAGGCCAGTTTCGTACTGGTTGCACAATACATGGCAACATTCAAATATTGTAAATAAAGAGCCAGATAATGAAATCAATATAAAGCCAGCCTGTGCTGAAAAAATAAATATGATAGCTGCTAGTGTAGCTACGTTCCAAAGCAACCGCCTCGGTATGTGCAGGCCCCAGGAGGGTCAACTGTGAACTTTATTGTTTATTAATAAAAAGACTGGAAGAATAGTTATCCTAAGGGGAACCGGAGGGTGGGCGCTACACGTCCGTGACGACGCTGTCTGTCGGGGCGGCGTTATCCGCAGTAACCAGAGCGGCGCCCGTGAGCTAACCAGTGGAGCACAACAGAGAGTCTCATGTGTGGCCGGTCTGGCTTAACAGAACACAGAGTGACTTAATTCTCGGCTCAGGTAGACATTACTCCACCTAGGATGTTGAATACTGTACTGTTAGTTGTAACACAGTATTCATACATTATCGTGCTGGTACTTTGACTTATATAAGAGGTCGCAGTACCTCTTCCACCACTGAATAGCTTTCCATCTGACCTCATTGGTTTATGATATCCAGAACATTCAAATGTTCTTCCTCAAGCATATTGTTTTCCATTAAACCTAAACTGGTGTTTCCTCAAGACTGAAAGACTTTTCCACAGGTCGGTTGGAGGTATGTTTGATGGGCTGCCAAGACCTGTTGGAGTCGGTTCCAGGCCGTGGTCATGTGACCAGCATCCCGGTCACCTCTGTAAGCCTTTCGGATGGAAAGTCGGTGAAGGTGAGAGCCGGCCTATCAGGACGCAGTGCCAGTGCCAAGACAACCAAGGCTGATGACCTGTCCTGTAAGTCAACACTGCAACTCAAACTTATTTTTTGTTTGGCCATTTTACTCTCCTTTAAAGTGTCTGCTTGTTAGCCTCTTCGTGGTCTGGATGAGTTTCTGAAGATGGAATCTGGATCCTTGTGGTTCGTCAACCTACACAATGCATAAGAAACTTTATTTACATACATTAACTAAGCAAATACATTACAAAGAAATTGATCTTTCACAAGTCTAACAAAATAATTTGAAAAATTCTCAAGAATTAGAAATGCAGCCTAAACTACTGTTATTAACACACTAACCCTGACATTTAGGTTAAATATCATTGATGGAAAACTGGAACCGAGATGATACAGTATTTACATTTCTAACCGACAGAAGTAAGAAATAAAAATAGTTGTTTGCTGTTTTAGGTTTGACTGATGTTCAGTTGTAGCATCTCATTACAATATAGCAGCTTCACCCCAATTACACCCCAAACACATGAAGGAGAGGTTGAGTAGTTTGAGGTATCCAGGTGGTGCCAGCTGAACTCTCTCTCAGGCTACATACAGCCCCACGGAGCTCCACCCATCACAAGTTTAGGCCAGCGCCTGTGGGACATGCGAATACTTAACTATGGCAAGTATATGGCTGCCAGTGCCACCGGGACATTTTATAAGATCCTCTTCACTTCATCACACGATGAAGACGTCTTTGTTAGATACAAAGACGTTGCGTTCTACTTATAACAACAAATTACTTTGTCTTGTTTTATCGTCAAACCAACATTTCTCGTGAATACTAAATTTGTGGTCTATTTTTAATGTGAAAAGGATCTTGTAAAAATGAGAAAAGCTTCTAGTTCTATAAAGTTTTTTTTTTTTTTTGTCGTGGTGGCAGCAATACACTGCCTTACTCAAAGGGAACATTCTATGTGGATGTCCAGTCAGGGCAATGCATTGTGTGCGACCTTCTGAGTCCAGGTCCCCACCGGCCTCATCCTCTGGCTTGCTGGGTTAAACATTCACTTTGTTGGAGACCTTTCTCTTTCTCAGCAACACATGGATCTGGCAACTCGCATGTTTCTTTTCTCTGTTGGTGCTGAACCATCGGTCTGATGACATCACTATTCTAGTGCTAAAGTTAGCCAAACTATGTCAACATTTTAAGCAAACGTCAACCCTCAATATTCACATTGTATCTAGCTAACTACATTTCATAATGATAATCATGGCTGTTGGCTGTGTAGATATCTAATGTCAGCATAAAAGATATTAATACATTACCATCCAATAAGGAGACAAGAAGTGTATTATGTACCCTTTCCTACCATGGTGCTGCTTGTATTGCATCATCTGTTGTTATAGAGCCTCTCTGGTTTTTATTGTCCAGTTCCAGAACATGTACGCATGCAGCGCGCTCTCATGCACCCTGAATGATCCTTTTGACCATGTTGGACATCAAACCAGCAGCTTTCTCCAGCGCTTGGTGAAAATTTTTTTTTTTTGGTCTTCTGGCCAAAGTGGTCTCCATAATGAATTACATTTACATGCATATTTCTGTTAGCGATACAAGCAAAGAGAACAGGGCAGTTCTGTTTGTGAGTTGCATCCAGAGCATGGCCCGTGGCTCCCCACAGGGGGAGAGTGACACTAGAAATCCCAGTTAAAATAGCAGCCTGTAGTTCTAACTACGTCACTGTCAGATCAAATGATGCCGATCGATGCACGAGGAACAACAGATTTTGCAGCTGCAAACTCATCTTTCTTGGTCAATATAGAACGCACTGAGGAATTTATTGTTAACTACATTTATAATCAACACTGATTGGACATTTTGTAATTTTCCATTTTTAATATTGCTATGAGCTCACATTAATAATTGAAGGCTGCTGGACAGGCTGGTTGTACTCCTAAACATTTCAGCTTGAAAAGAACATAATTTCTTGTCTGTTTTCAGAGTTGTCCATGCTGTGTTTTTATGGCAGCTGGCGTTGTATTTTCTCTCTCTCTATAATGTCCTCGCAGCCTGTATCAGTTT